TCTGTGTCTTTAAGTGGAATTTGTAGTTGAGTTAGAACAGGTGCATACAGTTATTATTTAGCCTTACTTTAAGGATCTCTGGTGGCACAGTGGTTAAAGCATTTAGCTGCTAATGAGAAGCTTGGCAGTTTGAACCCACCAGCTGCTCCGCAGCAGAAAGACGAGGTAATCTGCTTTCATAAAGATTATAGCCTTGTATTACGTCTTAGAGAGTCGCTGTGAATCAGAATTGACTTGATGGCAGTGGGTTTGGTTTTTGTTGTTAGCGCAAGAAAAGGGTTGAAGCCTTTTTAGTGATTTAAAAGTAAGCTGCACACGCAGCAAGTGAAGGTGACAGTGGTGAAGAATTTATTGTGAGTAGGAATTGGTTCAGTCACTTGAAAGCAAGGGCAAATTTAGATAACATTAAAGGGCACTGGTAGCATAGTGTCTAAGGCACTTGACTGCTAACCAGAAGGCTGGTGGTTCAAACCCACCAGCCACTCCTTGGAAGGGAAGGGTGGGCAATCTATTTCCATTGGGATACTGCCTGGGAAACCCAAGGAGGGGTCACTGAGTCGGGTCCTACTCAATCACACATAACAACAACAAGAAGTAATCCCTTGGAGGTAGCTAAAATCAAATGTATTTACTAGTTTTACACTACCTAATAGAAATGGTGCTTAACCTAAAAGAAAATAGACAATTTAAGATGGGGGATCAAAAATTGAAGAAACAGTATTGCGTAATAATTCACTGAGTTTGAGTGATAGTTGTGCCATTTACTGGCTCGTGTGACTTTTGGCAAGTTAATTTTGTGTATCAGTTTTTCAGATTAAAAAAAAACCAAACAACTTTTTCTGCAAAGCCAGATGGTAAATATGTGGCCTGCTTTGAGGGCCACATAGGGACTTTGTTTTAGATTCTTTTCTTTGCAACCCTTTAAATATATAAATTCCTGTCCTCAGATTGGTCAGTAGCTTTATGGTAAAGATGGAATGAAGAGCTTGTGTTTATGCCTGGTATATACTGAAAGTTCATTAAGTTATAACCAGTAGCTTGAATATTGAAACTTTTGTGTTATTTTAGTACAGGAATTGGCAAACCATGGTTTTAGTCTAAATGTGCTTTGCTACCCATTGTAGGGGAGCTCTGGTAGCATAGTGCCTAAGGCACTTGACTGCTAAACAGAAGGCTGGCGGTTCAAACCCACCAGCCACTCCTCGGAAGGAAGACGGGGCAATCTACTTCTGTAGTGATACTGCCTCGGAAACCCAAGGAGGGGTCGCTATGAGTCGGGTCCAACTCGACGGCACATAACAACAACAACACCTGTTGTAGAGCCCATGAATTAAGAATGCATTTTTAAGTGGTTGGGGAAAAAAAAGTCAAAAGAAGAAGAGTATTTTAGGACATGACATTGTATGATGTTCTAATGTCAATGTCCATAAAAAGAGTTTTAATGGAACATTGTCTATGGTTGCTTTTGGCTGCAGTGACCGAGTTGAATAGTGCTGCAACAGACTATATGACCTGCAGAGCTTAAGATACTATCTCACTCTATGGAAAAGTTTGCCAACTCCTGGGTTTTAAGAGAAAGGGTGTTGTGTTGTTAGGTGGTGGTGTGTTGGTATTACACTTTTTAAAAAATGCAGTTGGATTTCTTTGTCAGGTAACTAACTTTTATTAATTAGTATTAAATTTGATTAGGTAGGAAATAAGTAGTTGTATTCAGGTGTGGTTTTGTGCAATGAATGAAACAAGTAATTACGAGGATATTTCTTACCAGGCTTGTTCTGTTTCATTTCTCTTTTTTGGCAGCTTGGAGAATTTAGATTCTAGTTTCTTACAACTTTGCTTACTTCCTTCTTGGGCTCTGTAGGAGGAGGGCAGATACTAGGAAACATTGACAGCTCTAAAACTGAAGAATCCTTTTAGTTTTGAGGGAGTGCATCTCTCTCTCTCTCTCTGCTTTTGACTGGGGTCTTGTATTCCTATTACTAGAAAGGTCAGAAAGCAGAAATAGCATTTCCAGAGGAAAGCCATGATTTCTACATGAGAGCTCACTGTTTTGGTTACCTAGTGCCAGTCTGACAGGAATATACCACAAATGGGATGGCCTTAACAAACAGCAGTTTATTCTCTTAGAGTTTGGGAGGCTAGAAGTACGAGTTCAAAGTGCCAGGCTCTAGGGGCTGTGTGAAAGCCCATTGACCTTGGGCTGCAGCTCTGACTCTTGCTCCTGGCCCACTGAAGCTAGAGGCATCTCTTCACTCAGACAGCTACTGGCTGCTGAGGCTAACAAGCCCAAGGTTGACAAATAAAATGGCACAGTCCCGATGTTACCAAACCACATGGCAGGCCATTAATTTAAGTCCATCTTAAGTCCCAAGGTTGGCAGAGCATGGTAGGCTGCTGAGCAACGACATGGCTACATGCAGGGTCCAAGTGTGCCATAAGCTAGAGACCATTCCCCAGGGCTTCTCCAGAAGCAGACACATCCCTAAGGCAGCTACTCAGCTGCTCACAGTAGATTCCACCATGGAGTTGATTACCAGTCTCATCATGGGGAATACTACATCCAGCTCTCCAGGCATTCAACCAGGCCCAGCCAAGTTGACACACAAACTGAACTACCACACTCAATATGGCAGATAATGCTAAGATTTAGTTATGACCACATGGGTTGCCCATAGCCAGTTAAGTTTCTGGACACAGCTGAGTTTTGAAACAGGGTAGCTTTTATAGTATTTGGGGTCATTGATTTAGCCTGCTCTTTTTCCACTCTAATATGAAACAATTTCTGTGGCAGTAACAGAATGACCCAACCCATGTGACTGGTCCTTAAAACGGTTTTAGGATGATCAGATCTAACATGACTCTTAGAACAAGGCTAGCATGCTTTATGTCTCTTTTAGTATCACAGTTCCAACATGGAAGAATCAATCTGTATTCTATCTGAAAGTTTTTTTACCTCCAGCCTTTTGATTTCTAGCAAACTTTTCACATGAAGAATCTGTATTAAGAATGGTTTCTGTTAAGACAGTCTTTCTAGGCTCATTTTTTTCTTCATTATTTGATTATATCCCTTACAGAGTTTGAATACTTTGTTTAAATCTGATGATTCAGGCATGATCCACTTCATATTTGAAAGAAAATAGACAAAGGTTCTAATACATAAATGTAAGTTGGAAAAACAAGACAAAAACCCCTTCATAAATTATCTGAGTGTAAGAATTGGCTCCTTAATTATTAGGGTTGGACATGAGGTGAAAATGGGAGTGTAGAGCTGAATCTAGTGTCCCACATATCTTTGTGCTTCTTAACCTCTCTTCAGTGTGAATGTACTAGAACACAGCATTCAGGTGTAGCACAAACCCAATATTCCAAAATATTAATAGCTATGTGGGGAACACTTCCTGTAATTTCATTGAAAATAACATTTAAAATAATGTGTTTTTCAGTTTTCTATAAACATTGACTCTAGTAAGCTGTTTATTGTTAACTTCTTCCTTTATGCACTGTTTCTTTTCTTTCTTTTTTTAAATTGTGATTTGGGTGAAATATGCACTGCTTTTTAAATTGCAAAGTTAACCATGACATTTATTTGATAGAAATTTGAATGTAAGGAACAGTTGTTACATTTTTTGTATAACACATTTTTAGTAGCATATGGACATGATGTACATAATAATCATTATAATGAAATTAGATTATTTTGAAATTTTACCTGAAAGTATCCTTTGGGGTGGTAGATGAAACATTTTTTAAAATTCGAAATACTAAATAGGTAAAAATAAAGTAACCTATTGTCTTATTATTAAACTTTTTTTGTATAATGTCAGAAATGAAAGTTCTCCCACCTGTTTGTAGCTTGTTTGTATCCATCCTTACTTACTTGTGGACATATCTATATATAATTTTTTTTTTGTTTAATTAAAAAAAAAACAAAAACAAAAAACTATACACATTGGTGATTAACTTGAATTTCCAGGTCAGTGCATCTAGATCTCCCTCATACTTTTTAGTGGCTGCATATTCTATTATGAACGTACCATACTTATACAGCCAGTCCCCTCTTGAAGGACATATGGTTGTATGTAGTTTTTTGCTGGCATTTTAATATGATAGAGCATGTCATGAATGGTAAGGAAGTAAGTAGATAGCACTGCTACTTTAAATAAAGTAGAGAAGACACTTCCTTTGCCATAGTCACTTACTAAATGAAATTTAATAAAAGAACACTGTCAAAAGTTGGGAGGACCAAAATTGATACTTTTTCTCTGATCTTTTTGCCATGTATATATCTGAATTCTTTGTTTTTAAAGAAGAAACAGCATTGAAGCATTATTTGGGGGGAAAAACACACACACAAAATCCAGCAACTCAGCATTCATGAGCAACTCTATACTATACCAGTATGTGCCTGTGCAGTGGAAGGAAAACAATTTTGGTAAGGAATTAAAACTTTAGCTTTAACTTCCAACAGGTTGATATTTACAATGAATGATGAATCAAAAAAAAATTAAAAAAAAAAAAATAATTCTTATGGTGACAGTGCCTTTTTAGTTAAAAAACAAAACCAAACAAAAAATAGTCTTTCACCGTATCTTTGATATCTATAATTTCAGTTTCTACTTTTTCCATTTAAAAAAATCTGAATTTGCAGCCAGCAAAAGTTAGATATATCTTAAGGTGTGTATTGTTTCTGACTTTCATTAAAATGCCTACTAATGTATGTTGGGATGTTTATGAGTAGACTTTATTCTTTTCTTCAGGGGGCCAAGTTCACTAGTTCCTGAGTCTTATGCATACTACAGCAACAGTCTTTTTGAACGTATGTGTTACAACCATCTAGATGCTTTAAAACGCTTATATTTATTTTCTAAATTACTTATACATGAGGAATTATCATCGGTAATTTTACTAGATCCAAAAGTTTGTTTAGCCTAAGCAATTTACGTTTGTTGTATTTATTTCTTTAATGTAAAATTTTTATTTTTACTTTCTGCATTACATAGGAAATATATCCTGGACAATTCCAACCATCTCTCTGTCACAAATTTATAGCCTTGTCAGATAAGGAAGGAAAACTACTTCGCAACTATACTCAGAATATAGATACACTGGAGCAGGTTGCGGGAATCCAAAGGATAATTCAGTGCCATGGTTAGTAAACTTCAGAATGCTTCCTATCGTTTATTTAATAAGTTTTATAGTAAAAGATAGAATTATCAAAGTTGCCAGCCATCCAGAACTAAAGATTGTTCTTATTTAATCATATTACTTGATTAACTGTAGATAACCTAAGAAAAGTAGAATGCAAAAAAATGAAATCAGAAATCTTAGCTTTGATACTTGCATGAAACATCAAATATTAATGTATTTTGGGATTTCAAAAGAGATTCCAGTGCATGCCATTGAATTCTTTTCAGTAACCTTTTTTGACTAATGGTTATGTACGAAGAAACATGACATTGTTATAAAACGAAAGGAACTGTATAGTTTTGATACTACAGGAATCAGAAATCTAGAAGAGTTTTGATCTAAAGTATGAATAGATTAACCATTAGTCATTTTCTCAGGTATCTCAAAATGTTTTTAAAACACACTGTTGAACTAAGGAGTTGGTTCATTTTTTGGAAAAGACCATCTTTAGAAGAGAGCATTATATAATGTCTCAGCAATTGAAGATTTGTTTATCATTTAAATATTTTTGTTGTTGTTGTTCCATCTTCTGATTCTCCTGTGGAGTCTCTTTAAATCATAGAGCGTCTCTAACTTTCCTGGTGTCAAATTTTATATTATGATTTTTGTGGTATGTTTAAAAAATGGAAATATTTCTTTAATATATATGTGTGTGTGTGCGTGTGTGTGTCGGTTGTTTTCAGGTTCCTTTGCAACAGCATCTTGCCTGATTTGTAAATACAAAGTTGACTGTGAAGCTGTACGTGGAGATATTTTTAATCAGGTATAATCATCCACATTTTAAGAATTGTGCCATCTCTCTGATCTAGTCTTTTTTTTTTTTTTTGCTTCCAAATCTTCCTTTAGATAAAAGTATTTGTGATGTAAAAAGTGCCAGAAAGAAAGTATTAGCATTGTAGATTCCAGTGAAATACATAAGACTTTTTCCCTACGTTAATTAGAAACTTGCTCCATAATGTCTCTTAAAATGGTCAGAAGCAAAGTGTTGTATTTGTTTTCTCCTTACTTTTTACCCTTTTGATGCCTGTTAGATTTTGAATTTTAAATTAGTTTTGGTACTCTTCTAAGACATTATTATAAATTGTAAAATAATTTCATAAATTCTCACTGCCAAAAAATATGGGAAGATACAGTGAGAAAACAAAAATCAGCCAGAAATAAGTCATCTGTACTTGGCTGCATATATGCTTAATCATTTATTTATAATAGAGGAAGGTTAGTATATTAAAATCATGGTGTTTTACAAACTTTTTTTCTTAAGGATCCACTGCCATTGTACTTTAGGCCAGCTTTCTTATATCTTACGTGTATGAACACAGGGTCATTTTAAAGGATTTTTTTTTCTATAAACATTTTTACATATAGATAGATAGATTTTTTCCCCTTTCAATAGATAATGGAGTCTTGCATTTCAAATGTAGTTCAGTGCAGCTATTAAATAGTGTTCTTTCATTGTATAGTGTCTGTAGGTTATTAACTAATCTGACATTGACAGTTGATACTTGATCATACTCAATTTGCTGTTTATCCGTCACTTTTCTGACTGTTTAATAATTCTGAAATACATTCTTGGGAAATGTGAAAATGCTGACTATTTTGACTTGGGCTTTTCTTTTTTCCTCAACCAAAATCTGGAACATAAATGCAGGTGGTTCCTCGATGTCCTAGGTGCCCAGCTGATGAATCACTTGCTATCATGAAACCAGAGATTGTGTTTTTTGGTGAGAATTTACCAGAACAGTTTCATAGAGCCATGAAATATGACAAAGATGAAGTTGATCTCCTCATTGTTATTGGGTCTTCCCTGAAAGTAAGACCAGTAGCACTAATTCCAAGTAAGTTGGTGATGGTTTTGGAGAACATTTCTGTGTAAATGCCATGACTCATACAAGAATTACTATATAATAGACACCCCCAGTAGTTTTTTTCTGCCTCTGGTTAAAGGGACATGACGAGCTAAATTTTATTATTTAAGTAGCATTCTTACTCATGAAGATTGGTCAGTCTGACATTTGGGTTAGGAGAAGATCAAAATAGAATAGCAAATTCTAATTTATATGAAAAAGCAAAGTAAACAGTTTATATTTTGTAATGGAACACATTTTTAATGTGGCAGGAATTAGTTATGAACAGCCGTGATCTATATAGTGTTAATTCTTAATACGAAAATAGTTCATTGATAGTCACAGAGGCTGAAGTCTTAGATAAACATTTTTACCAGATTGAATTTCTGTGAAGGAGTTGTTGACCTTTCAAACTTAATTGATTTCCAGTTCAATAAGTTCAAATATATAGGTTGATAGAGATGTAATGTGCTTTTATATAGGATGGTGTTTGCAGGTTCAAAATGATTGGTTCATTCTTGCAGTATTAACAGCCATACCATGTCATAATAATGGTCTCTAACTGTAGTGTACCCCCAAGTGCACGTGTATAAAAATGCCAAATACAATTTAAGTCCTACTGTTCTCAGGAATATTTCTTTAACATCTGCTTTCACACCTCCCTCCCCCCCAAAAGCTAAGGAGAAGGAAATAGAGGGACTGTTTAGCATCAGATATGCCTGTGCCCTCCTAAGTGAGGGGAGGAGCAAAGAAGAGAGTATCAAACTCCTAAACAGGTACTAGGTTCCTAGACCAGTAGTCAAATAGGTAGCTAGAGCATAAACATTAGATGACTATGGAGTCAGACTCTCCACTTCTACCCTAAGTCCTACCCCACATCTGGTGGCTTTAGCAGTTAACTCTGTCTTCTCTAAATAGCAGTGAAATTTTATTAAGGTATAATATATAGGTCAATTTGTAATTAAACAACATTAAAGTTTAATATATAAGCCTCCCTCCCTTTTTTCCTTAAATCTTTAGGCTAATTCAAAGGCAGAGAAATTGATACATTTTCTGTGGGGATAATGTAATGGTGTGTTGGTGATAGGAAAAGGTTATTTTTTATTAAATGAAAAAACAAGTATATAATGGTATAGAATAAAACCCAAAACCAAACTGACTGTCATCAAGTCGATTCTGACTCATAGCGACCCCAATTGGGTTTCCAGGGTGGTAAATCTTTAGGGAAGTATCAGATTGCCCCCACTTCCTTTCGCGGAGCAGCTGGTGGGTTTGAACCACCAGAGCTCCTTGAATGGTGTAGAATAGCTAGCTGTGTGTAATTTTAATTCTATGTCAAGATTTACATCGGTAGAATGGTAATAATATGCATTTAATTCTTATTACCACCTCATGGAAAAGTTTAGCTATTGCCTCCTTTATACAAATGAAGAAATTGAGGTACAGACTGGAATAGTGAGCTTACTGCTCTGTTTACTAGGTGGCTTGATGAAATGCAGTGGTTTGGTTAAGAATTAATGGAGAGTTTCTTTTTTGTTATTTGGTACTCTAGGCTCTCAGTCCATGTTAAATTTTTGCATGGCATATTTGTTGTTGCTTGATTAGATTACTTCTCCTTTTTCTTACAGTTACTTTTTATCTTCATTTTAGGTTCCATACCCCATGATGTGCCTCAGATATTAATTAATAGAGAACCTTTGCCTCATCTGCACTTTGATGTAGAACTTCTTGGAGACTGTGATGTCATCATTAATGAATTGTGTCATAGGCTAGGTGGTGAATATGCCAAACTTTGCTGCAACCCTGTAAAGCTTTCAGAAATTACTGAAAAACCTCCACGAACACAAAAAGAGTTGGCTCATTTGTCAGAGTTGCCACCCACCCCTCTTAATATTTCAGAAGACTCAAGTTCACCAGAAAGAACTTCACCACCAGATTCTGCAATGATTGTCACACTTATAGATCAAGCAACTAAGAGTAATATTGGCGATTCAGATGTGTCTGAATCTAAAGGGTATATGGAAGAAAAATCTCAAGAAGGACAGATTTCTACTAGGAACACTGAAAGTATTACTGAACAATTAGAGAGTCCGGATTTGAAGAACGTTGGCTCCAGTACTGGAGACAACAATGAAAGAACTTCAGTTGCTGAACCAGTGAGAAAGTGTTGGCCCATTAGACTTGCAAAGGAGCAGATTAGTAAGCGGCTTGATGGTAAGAAAGGGTGTGAACTTTTTTGGAAGTACAATTATTGTATCAAAATTTTTGTATGAAATTAACAATTTTGGCTGATTAGTTGATAGGATAGCTTTTGGCAGCTGAATGGAGTCAGTTGATTCTGTTTAGAAAACCTGAAGATCATAATTTAAGGTAGAGGAAGAGAAACCAGTGGGTATCTTGCATAGTACAGGGAAAAAATAGTCTGAAATCTGCTTTGCACATTGTTATTTCTCTAGGGGAAGGGAAGAACAACATTAGATTAAGAAGATATTGTGTGTTCTGCCAATATCTGAGCCTAGAGCTTTAACTCAGTAGAAACAATGACTGAGATTTGAGGGCTTACTGTGTCTCACTTGTTTTACAAACTATCTGATTTTAATTTTATGAGGTAAGAAGGAACTGTTACTAATTCTTTGCTACAGGTGGGAAAATAGCACCACGGGGGCAACCACTTGAGAAGTGGCCAGATTGGATCTCAGGTCTATTCTCTGGGTTTGCACTCATTATAACCACTTTGCTGTGTTGTCTCAGATCTAGACAACTTTTCTGTTTTTTCTCCACTAACTATCAGGAATAACACCTACACTGTCAATATGGAAAATCTTTAACAATTATTAATTAATTACTTAACCAGTTGTTCTTATTTGCTGTCGAGTCGGACCCAACTTGTAGCGACCCCTTCTTGGGTTTCCGAGGCGGTATCACTATGGAAGTAGATTGCCCCATCTTCCTTCCGAGGAGTGGCTGGTGGGTTTGAACCGCCAGCCTTCTGGTTAGCAGTCAAGTGCCTTAGGCACTAGGCTACCAGAGCTCCTACTTTACCAGTTAGCTACTAATTAATATGGAAAGCACTTCCTATTTTCTGGAAAAATGATGTTAAATCCCGAAGTATGGTTGGTGGAAAACCCTAATTTAATCAATGCAATTAAACCCCCTCTACCCCCAGAAAACAACCTCTAAGTAAATAAGTTAACATCCTTTACAACTTAGAACATTAAGTTGTAAACTGACAAGACCTTTTAGACAAATATGTTAAGTGTTCCAGTCATTTGCTTTAAGTGAATTGTAGTTCAGTTGAGTTAAGACGTTGGGTCTCTTTTTCATGCTGCTGCTGTTAGGTGCCATTGAGTTGGCGTCCTCTTACTGACCCTGTGTATAACAGAATGAAACACTGCACGGTCCTGTGCCATCCTCACAGTCATTGCTGTGCTTGATCCCATGGTTGCAGCCATTCGTTGAAGGTCTTTCCCTTTCTCACTGACCCTCTACTTAACCAAGCATCATACCCTTCCTTCTCCAGGAACTGGAGAGGCATAGTGAGCTCTTTCAGGAGGCTGATGGGCTGTTGGATTATTGCCAGGACTATGGAGTGCCACACACTTTCAGAGTTGTGCCATCAGCCACCATCTTTGAGTGGGGGCAGTGCTCTTCAGAGCAAGAGATTTGTGGTTGCTGTGCAAAGTGCTTATCACCTTTGTTTTCTAAGAAGTTAAGTTTCTAGCAATGTGTCATCCTATAATTTTTCTTGTTTGGTTGTCATTCTGTGCTATCTGCATTGTACACATTTGAATCTTTTTTCAGTGTCGCTCCATCAGCCATGACTGAACCGAGCAGAATCGGTTCAAAACCCTGCTTAAGCCATAACTAGGGAGTTAAAATTTTCCAGGGGAGAAAACTAGCGAAGTAGCAAAAGCACAGACGGATGCTTGTGTTTGCGAATGTGGCAAGTGTCAGAAAAATTGGTTTATGTGTACTTTTGTTAAAAATATGTCTGTCTTAAGTCATTTCTTTGGGTTAAACATTGTTACAAAGCACTAGTCACTGGATAAGAATTCAAGAGTAATAGTTCTAATCCTTAGTGTTTTTGGGTAAAGGACCCTTTTTAAGATTCTGGCAAAAGCTGTGATATATCTCCCCAAACAAATGCATATGTGCAATTCTGAATATAATTTCAAAGGCTGAAATGAATACTTATTAGAACTACCCACAGTAGGTGCTGCCTGTACATAAGACAGAAGTGTTCCATGCAAGAGAATTTGAATACGATAAATATTATTTTGTTATTATTTTAGATAATGTAAGTCTTACCATGTACAACATCTGCCTACCTGTTTGTACTGGGGATCTTCTTTGAATGTCTTTTGGCAGATGGGTTAAACTTGCAAAACTCTTTGCCCCAAGAAACAAAGATTAAAACCAGAACGGACCTTTTTGTATTATACTTTGGAACGAGACATGAGCTGTCTCATATCCACTTTTGGCAGAATTATTTAACCTCTCACCTTCTTAATCTGTAAAATGGGAATAAAGTAGTACATATCTCGTAGAATTGAGAATTAAAAAAAGGTAAGTTTATAGTGTAAAATTATAGCTTTTAAAACCAAATGGCCACTAGATTATTTAGGTTACCAAGTTATTTTTTACCTCTCTGTGTATTACCAAGGCTAAACAGGAGGAAGTGAGGGCATACATGAAGTAAATTTCTTATCCTGATGGTTGCCAAGAGGGCAGATCCAGACAGGTATAGGGGTAGTTGGTTTGAGAGAGAGTATTCAGTTTTTCAGGGGTGCCAGAGCCAGAATGAAACGGTTTTTTTAGAAGCTCGCTCTAAACTACAGTAAGAAAGTGCAGGACAAGCACGCACTGGGGCCACCTGTAAAAGTAGGATTCCCAGGAATGGTCGAGTTAGTGCTAAGATGGGTTTTCTGTTAGCAGCTGGAATCAAGTACTTGACTCCCTGCTCCAGCCATGCAAATTAATACCAGTGGCTTAGAAAGCTGAATATTGTGTATTCTCTTGCAACAAAGGGCAAGAAGTGGTTTTCAAACTTTGTGATCTGAAAGTCAGTTTTGAAGTCAGTGAGTTCAGATCAGCATTTTGAAAAATGATTGTCACACATACTAGCCTGAGTACTAGCTCATGATGCAGTATAAAAAGATTGAAAGCCACTTTGAAGAGAAGCTTCGTAAATGGCATGCCACTTCAGATAGACTATGTAGGAACCAGGCTTTTGTGAATCATTCTGGGATATGGAGCAATAAATACAACATGATGACGACTACATGAAACAGACTTAGGAGCTACATGTTCTCGTCAGTTCAAGGATAGGAAACACTCATCATTTTTTTTAGTGTTTCCCCTCCATCCACTTTAAAGTAAACAAAAGACGCTAACCTAAATTAGACCAAACAGATTTGTGATTGGATGTGCTGGAGACTTCTAGGGAGCTCTGGAGGCATGGTGCCTAAGGCATGTGACTGCTAACCAGAAGGCTGGCAGTTCAACACCAGCCCTTGCTTGGAAGGAAGACTGGCCAATTTACTTCCATAGAGATATACCACCTTGAAACCCAAGGTGGGGTTGCTAAGAGTCGAACTGACTCCACGGCATGAATTTGGAGACTTCTACGGAGTTTATTAATATTCATGGGTTCAGAGTGATGCTCTAAGATGGGACCTCCCAGAGGAGTTTTTGACACTGGGTCTGTGGTTTTAAGGGCAGGGCGACAGTGACTCTCCTGACCATCTTAGGTGAAATTTTACACTGCGAATACAAATTTGGGAAGGAGTGAAGGAAGGTTAAGTCCAGAGGTAATCAGTGCTTCTCAAGCTGCAATGTGGCAGAACTCTTACAAAAATGCAGACTCTGATTGAGTAGGTAGGTGGTGGGACCTGAGAATTGGCTTTCCAGGTGTTGCCAGTATCCACACACCACACTTTGAATAGGTGGTGAAGACGCATTACTGACGATTTCAATTTAGTTTTATGATTATGGTGGTGGTGGTATGTTGCCATCAAGTCAGCTTGACTCATAGCAAGCCGTCCTTGGGTTTCCGAGGCGGTATAACTACGGAAGTAGATTACCCATCTTTCCTTCTGCACCTTTCCTTCCGAGGAGTGCTTCTGGTTAGCAGTGAAGTGCCTTAGGGACTACGCTACCAAGCTACAAATATTTACACCTAATATGTGCTTTAGAGAAGTTCATCTTTAAATGAACATGAATTTTGGGTATCATGAATTGGGTATCTAGTGTAGGTTGTGCTGGATACTGTTTTCATCAAATCTCTTCCAAATAATTGGTTAAATAATCTTTACTGAAAATAAGTTTTCTATTTTTTTTTCATACTTTTCCAGATGAAGAAATTGAGGCAGAAATAACTGCCCAAGTTTGCAAAGCTAAAAAGTGGCAGAATATTGGAACTCAGAACTAAGTCTATAGCTTTTCTGAAAAAACCTAAGTATACAGTACTGATACTTGTTACCCCAGCATTTAGTAATGATACTCAGTAGAGCTGGGGCCTACACTTCTTTCAGGTTGCCTACTCAGCCTTACTTTCAATTAGTTTTAGAAAGTGAAAATAACTTTTCTCTTTTATTACTGTAATGTATTTCAGGTAATCAGTATCTGTTTGTACCACCAAATCGTTATATTTTCCATGGCGCTGAGGTATACTCAGATTCTGAAGATGACGTCTTATCCTCTAGTTCTTGTGGCAGTAACAGTGATAGTGGAACATGCCACAGTCCAAGTTTAGAAGAACCCATGGAGGATGAAAGTGAGATTGAAGAATTCTACAATGGATTGGAAGATGATACTGATGTTCCTGAGGAAGCTGGAGGAACTGGATTTGGGGCTGATGGAGGTGATCAAGAGGCAGTTAATGAAGCTTTATCTGTGAAACAGGAAGCAGCAGACATTAACTATCTATCAAACAAATCATAATGTAATAATAATCTAGGTACAAGAATTGTTCCACCAGCATTAGGAACTTTAGCATGTCAAAAATGAATGTTTACTTGTGAACTCAATAGAGCAAGGAAACCAGAAAGGTGTAATATTTATAGACTGGTGAAATAGATTGTTTTTTCATGGGTGATTTTTAACTTCATTATTTCTGTACTTGTACACTCAACACTAACCTTTTGTTTTTTAAAGAAAGGTACTAAGTATCTTTAATCAGCTCTTGGTCAAGACTTTTACTTTCTTTTAAAGGTTCATTTGTATGATACATCCATATGTATATATAATTTTGTTGTTGCCTAGTGAATTTCAACATTTTAAAGTTTTCAAAAAGCCATTGGAATGTTATTTAATGTAAAGGGAACAGCTTATCTAGACCAAAGAATGGTATTTTCACTTTTCTTTGTAACATTGGTTTGACATCCTCAAATCTCTGTTCTGTTAAACTTTCGATTCTTTAGCACAATTACCTATTTTTAAACACTGGCATTTTCCAAAACTTGTGGCAGCTAACTTTTTAAAAATCTCAAATAACATGCAATGTAAGTCGAAGGAAGCCAACAATATGTAGGAGAGCACTTAGTTGTCTTTGCTTTTTTTTAAAGTTAAGGCTTGGTGCTTTCAGGAATACTGTTACTATTTAAATGAGGGTGGCTTTTGTACTTCCTGTAGACATGTAGTTAATGTCGGTATTGGCTCATAAAACTAACCTGAAAAACAAAAAACTGCTTTGGAAATGTTTAAATTGCTTTAGAAACAATAGTGCCTGCCTGGATCCCTTTAGTTTTGAGAATACTTGCCATTGTTGTTTAAATATGTCACTGTGGTAGAGCTTGCATTGGTCCTTTTCCACAAGTATTAAACTGCCAAGATGTGAATATGCAAAGCCTTTCTGCATTTATAATAATGGTACTTCTACTGGGGAGAGTGTAATATTTTGGACTGTTTTTCTTTTTCATTAATGAAAAGAGCAACAGGCCTCTGATTACAATTCCAAAGTAATATGTTAATTATACTCAGCCAGAAAAAGGACGTGTCCCCTGGAGGCACACTACATGGCTCCTGTTGGGAAAATTTGGTGTAATAAACACCAAAGTACTAGCCTAGTATTACAGAGAAGAAAATGATGTAATTTCTAATAGCAGAATAGTTAATGAAACTAGTTCCTGTAACATGTTTATTTAAAAGCTTAGCCTGCCTTAAAACTCTAGATACCAACTTTCTCAGTTGCAGAAGCTTCTAGCCTTTTTAAAAAAGTTCTTACTTTATAAAAATTGCACAGTAAGCATTTATTTTCCAGATTTTTTCCCCCAGCATTTTCCCAAATTATAGACTATTCATATGTTTAGTATTTATTACAATAAAAAAAGGGTTTGAAATACAGCTGTTCTTAATGCATATAATACCCAGCTAGGTCAGTTAACTGCCAGAGGAAAGAAAAACTGTACTGAATGGCCATTTCTCTACCTAAAAGATGTCTCAATCTAAATTTATTTGGCTACACTAACAAATGCAGTGTATTCAGTTTTCCATTTGCATGACATGTGTTTGTGCTATAGATGATATTTTAAATCGAAAAATTTGTTTTAAATTATTTTTACAGTGAAGACTGTTTTCAGCTCTTTTTATATTGTACATAGTCTTTTATGTAATCTACTGGCATACGTTTTGTAGACTGTTTAATGACTGGATATCTTCTTCCAACTTTTGAAATACAAAACCAGTGTTTTATACTTGTACACTGTTTTAAAGTCTATTAAAACTGTCATTTGACTCTTTTCTGTTAACTTAACATTGTTTAAGGTATAACTTTTTTAATTTTGTAGAATTTACACAGCATCGAGGGCTGTAGATGTGCTCTTCTCAGTATACCTGGAGTGTGAAATGTGCTTGCTGCTGACTGAAAGGCTGGTAGTTTGGGTTCACCTAGAGGTGCTTCAGAAGAAAGTCCTGGCGGTCTGTTTGCAAAAAATCAGCCATTGAAAACCCCACGGAGCACAGTTCTACCTTGACACACGTGCAAGTCCCCCATGAGTTCTGGGTTGATGGCAGGCAACTGGTTTTTCTCTTCTCAATATATTGACATTTTCCTCATTCAATTACAACCCAAACCTTCCCAAATTGGTACTTTCAAACATTGATAGTGCTGGCTATAGAAACTACATCACCAATAATTACAAAATATATTTCAAGCATTCTAGGCCAGGGGCCTTAGATAAAAAGTAGGGGAAAGGCAGTACTTAAGAAGAACCTGACATAAGATCTGACAGAGTCATACAACAAAGACAGGACTTTGGGGTTAAAGAGACAATAGGGAAGAGAGGAAAACAACTGAATTCAAGAACCCAGGCCCTACAGTAGTCAAATTACCTAAAAATTGCTCTCAGGTGCTAGATCTAACAGGGATTGGACAAAACAGACTACAGACCACAGAGGATAACTTTTTGACGCTCACCTGAAAACTTAATCCATCACAGTGCTTGAGAGCAGACATCTGCAAGCAAACACCATTACAATGTAGGGAATTTAAATAATAGGTGGATATGGGATTGACTTGCAGTTTCCTAACATTGCCCCTGTATGCTCCATTTGCACTAAAAACTTTAACCTGTAAACCCCATCCTGAGATGTTAAAAAATAAGTAACAGTGGCATTCCATGTGTACAAATTTGAATAAGGTAGTTCATACCTGAGGTGGTACACTCTTTGAGTAATTACTCAAAATGACACTGACTTTAATTGATCCTTTATTCAACACTTCCCATCTTCCTTGTAACTATGCGTTATGTACTGTTTCACTGATTATTGATGGATTGATGGTTTAATTATTACTCTTTCAGCGGTAGATAAAATAATGTGTACTTTCAGTCAGAGGTGTAGCACCATCTACTAAGCTTTATTAGTAAGATTCCTTTGAAGTATATCTCTATTCCTGGACCTAAAGAAACGAACCAAGATCTAAAGAAGCCAGGGTAAACGTTAAACTCAAGCTAGGATGCTAGTAGATCTATGCAGAAAAGGTCTAATAACCTCTCTGGTGAAGTTCTCAAGTGAAGACTATTTAAGATGAGGCTTTAGCATAGTATTAAAACATCCCCACGTGATATTCAAGGTTGAGAACCACTGTTAGCTGGAAAGGAATAGGGGAGTCCCCTTCCCAGACTTTACAACTTCCACTGCCAGGGCTGGCTGGCCTAACAGGGAGGTAGGCTGTTTTATGAAATAAGCAACCTCTCTTCCCAAATTTACTTCCAGAAATACTTCACTGATTTCGATAACTTGGGTTTTAATGAGCAAATATGGGAAGGGTGAGGACCTAGCGCAACAAGGAGACTTCTCCAGTAAACAAAACTTCCAAGGAATGTGGACAGCCAAAGTACAGAGGAAAAATTAGAGGTATGAGATGGCTAGGAAGCAGAACATTTCATGTAGCTTTCTCAAAACGCTCAAAGGAAAGACTTCCCTGGTGCATGTTGAGCTTTTAATGTAGGAGTTTTGGTCAGAAATTTGACCCCAATAAACAGTCCTTAAAAATTGATCCTTGTGAATGGATGCTATGAGAAAACTAACACTAATTTGGGTCTCTTCAGTGGTAAAAGGTGCATTCTGGTTTTATTCTAATTTAAAAGACTGTCTTGGTTCTGCTGCCTTATATTTTAGTCTGGACAATAGCTACTGGTGAAAATTACTACTAAGACAGGATCTACAAACACTTGATTGTTTCTTGCAGATAAATCTGTGGAGGCCAAATATTTTCAGTTTTAGCCAATTAACTGATCATGGTCCCAAATATTTGCCTACTCTGATCTATAAAGCTCTCAAGAGATTTTGTTACTGTTTTAAAACATAGCAATTGGAAAAAATTTCAATTTAACTGTCTACCATAAATCTGGCTGTTAAATGCTATGTGCCTTAGAGTTTGTACCAACAGAGGGAGGAAAAGATCAGTAATATTTACCAAATTAAGCTTTGTACTGCGTGCTCCCAGATAAGTTGTGAAGTCCTTGTTAAAATATCTGTCCACTGAACTCCACTGCTCACAGGTCAGCTTAACAGCACAAAGAAGTTATGAAACAAGCACCTAACACACCACCAGTTTTCTATTTGAACACACAAATGTTATCCTCAAGAAAATGATGCATGGAGAGATAGGATCCAATACTGGAAGAATGTTCATACGGAAGAATACTAGTTGGAAGCAAAATTGCCTTAGGTGAGAATATTATTTTAGTGCTTTAGTGCTTCTATCTATAAAAGGCTCCAATGTTTCACCAGTAAACAATGTTCTATTTAAGTTAAACTAGAGTATAGGTTCACAATACCTTGCCCTATAACCCTTGGACTCAGCTGCACTTTGTACACTGCATTACGTAGCACCTCCACTGGGGTCTGGAGCAGCAATGAGACCAAAATAAAATTTACATGGGTACAGAAACAAGCGATTCAAAATTTTAGAAACCTCTGAGATAAACTTCTAGAAGAACTTTGAATCTTTTATGAGAAGCACTGAAAGTTTAAATATTAAACCAATAAATCTTTATTATTTGAACAGTTTTCATGGCATTTTTAAAATAAATTTTAAAAATAAATATCTGCATTATAGCTGAAAGTCACATGTAGTGCGTTGACTCACTTTTACAATTTAATGACATGAGATAACTAAGCATCAGCACCATAAAACTGTTAAGATTTGTTTTAAAAAATCCCAGGAAATAGTTCTTAAGCACTGTGAAAACTCTGACTATATACTAACCTGCAGCATCAATAGTTTTGAAAGGTATATAACCCAGTGGTTGGTTATCATGGTACCAAGGTTTCTATTTCTGGCTATATTGTAGGACATAGTTTTTCCACTACTAAATTATTAAATTTTCTGATCAATAACTGCCCATCAGTAGCATCTCAGTATTCACAAGAGAGGCAAGAACTACAAGTTATTTAACTGCTAACTGTAATTTCAGTTTGCACAGATATTTATTTTAGCAAAAGAGCAAAGATTGTGTTTTCACCATGCTATTTTTTGCCTTTACAGATTTTCAGTAATATTTAATGGTCATAATTTTTCAACTTTAAAAGTCAGTCCAGTTCAATTACAACCATAGAAACTTTACCGGTATCAGAACATATCTATTTTATTACAAAACTTAACATTATTTACAAAATGAAAAAATAATCAAAAGGCTATTGCAGGCCAAAGTTAAGGTTTTTTCACCCAGTGATTAAAGAAAAACTAAGCAGTACTTCCATGCACTCACACACCAATCATTTTTGAAATATGCAAACTCTTTAAAATTCATGTTAGTAAAACTTTAATGTATTCACAGTACTTGTATATTTATTGGAAGATGGAAAAAAAGAAAAACAAATCCATGGTTCTGTAAAGTTTGATACTGACATAGTTTGTTCATTTTCCTTTAAGATTTTTTGGCTTTCATGAATAGCATTGAATATTTTGCAAGTAAGAATTATAATAGTATCTCTGTCACCTGGCTGAATTCAACACCACAAAAATAACAAAACAGTTTAATGCTCTTGCACTAAACTCAATAGTTATAATAAAGTTATATCAAACTGAAGCCTTCATTGTGATCAATAGCTTGTATCAGTTTAGATCGTAGAGTTTCTTTTTCTGTGTATTTTGGAAGATCCAGAAGATTAAAACAGGTATGGGAAACTGGGAGATACTCCTCACCACCTCCTGTTGACTGAATGACTAGTTTTAGACTCTTCATACCAAGAATAGGAATGCGATCACTACCTGTCAAGAATACTGCCAAGAAAAAAATCATTAAGCCAACCACCTTTTATGAAACCAATAGAGTGCCATGCTATTTAGTAGACAGTAGGTAACAATTTTACATAAAAATTTGCTCTAACATGGAAGCCTATCTCCAGAATCTGTGGGAGACAAGATTTTTGAGACACATATTTATTTGTACATGCAAACAATATTTCCCCTTTAAAAGTATAATCTAAGGTGTGTAACAAATGTTTGATGATTACTGTCACTGACAAAAACATTTTGGGACCTCCTCTAGGAATAATTGGCAAGACCTAATTCATAAACCAAATACAAAAATGCAGTTTAGATTATGATTCTTTTTTCTATTTGTTTTATTTCTGTGTCACTTTTTAACACTAATTTATAATAAACAGCCAAAACTCAAATTACTTTAAAAGAATACTGACTTGTCAATATCAATCTTGATATGCAAAAGAACTGAACCAAGACTGTCATATCAATTCTCAAAAACAAAACCACCAAAAATATGCTTTACAGGGAAGAAGTGGGAAGAATGCTGTTCCAACTGCAGTGAATGTTATAAACAGAGTATGGACGGATTGTTGAATGGAAAACCAAATTCTTCTGTAACCTTTCAACCAAATCACAAAGAAATAAAAACAGGCCAAACAAAAAGTATTCTTTGTCAATATCAAGAGATTCAGAGAATGTCACTGATTTTGATCCACCAACTGCTCTGCAGGAGGAAGATGGGGCCATCTACTTCTGTAAAAATTTACTGCCTCAGAAATCCAATGGGGTCATTATGAGTAGGACTCACTCAATGGCAATAAATTTGGTTTGGTTATAATCAGAGTTACAAGTTTTGTCTTCATTTGAAAGAACCAATGCTATTTTGAAGGCATACTGAATTTAGTTTTTGAAATAAGAGAACACATGTAATGAAGATTAGCTGTGTTTTTGAAAATTTACTATACTTCAAGATTAGAAACAATACCTTGGAATGGTATTTTTAAAAATAAATGTATCTTAAAGTGAATTAAATTAATATTCTGTAAGAATACTTAGATTCCATTCTCATAAAATACAAAACTAGTCAGAAATACTTACACAAAAATTGTTTTTTCTTTTCCAGTGGTAATTCATGAAATACTTCCCAAAAAATTTTTATTGTAGGATGTTCTGCCCAGTACTCTCCTTTGTATTCTGTATTCTGAAAACAACATAACCTTTTATTAATATCAAGGAATATTTTGTATTAAATTTAGCAAACTGGCTTCTTTAGACTACAAAGCTAACATGATGCAGTAGTTTGAAACTTGTGGGAGTCAGCCAATTATCTACTATTTCCTGGCATTTTGCAATTTAGAGTGCTTATACTTGCCTGCTAACCAGACGGCTGGCAGTTCAAACCCACCAGCCACTCCTCGGAAGGAAGGTTGGGCCATCCTACTTCTGTAGTGATACTGCCTCGGAAACCCAAGGAGGGGTCGCTGTGAGTCGAGTTTGACTCAACGGCACATAACAACAACAGCATAGTTCCAGGGGAGAAAATACGTATGAGTCAACAACAATGTCTCTCTACCACATCAAAGAAAATGGTAAGATTGTAGTATCATCTATAAAAGTAAATATCCAAGTAAGGATAAAGATAATAAATTAATGTTAATGGATTATTAAACTTCAACACCGAATTATCTATAATTATAAAATTTTCTTTTTTTTACATTTATAGCAGATGTAAAATTATTTTACATTCTATCTTCTCTTGGAAAAAAAAAATGCTACTACGAACAACACCTAGGAGCCCTGATGGTGCGGTGGTTAAGTGCTCAGCTGCTAACCAAAAAGGTGGTGGTTTGAACCGACCAGCCTCTCCACAGGAGAGAGATGACAGTCTGCTTCAGTGAAGATTACAGCCTTGAAAATCCTATGGAGCAGTTACTTCTACTCAGTCCTATGGGGTCACTATGAGTTGCATTTGACTTGATGGCAATGGCTTTTAAGAAAAGAACATTAACATTTTCTGTGACAGCTGGTTCTCAACATGGTTCCTACTGATCTCTGCCTCTTGGTAGTCCTGCACTTACGTAGTCCCCTCCCACAGTGAACAGGCCAGACCCGAGTAATCATTCAGACATTGCAGATCTGAGGAAATATATGAGGCTAGATGGTGAACACTGTGATTTAGCCTCTCTTGGATCACTCGTTCTGGGGCAACCCAGCTGCCACTTCGTAAGGACACTCAAAAAACCAACCCTATGAGAAGAGGTCCTTGTGGTGAGAAAATGAGCCTGCCTGCCAACAACCATTTGAGTGAGGCATATCAGAAGCAAATCTTTAGCCTTAATGAAAAGCTCAAATGACAGCAGTGCCTGACAACATGTATATATGTATGTATGTATATATATATATACAGGAGCTCTGGTAGCATAGTGCCTAAGGCACTTAACTGCTAACCAGAAGGCTGGCGATTCAAACCCATCAGCCACTCCTTGGAAGAAGGTTGGGCAATCTACTTCCGTAATGATAACTGCCTCGGAAGCCCAAGAAGGGGTCGCTATGAGTCACCGGTTCCCGAAGTGGTATCACTATGGAAGTAGACTGCCCAACCTTCCTTCTGAGGACTGGCTGGTGGGTTTGAACTGCCAGCTTTCTGGTTAGCAGTCAAGTGCCTTAGGCACTATGCTACCAGAGGGCATATATATATAATATATAAATTCATTGTTTTTATGATGGCAAAATATAGACAATATAAAATTTGGCATTTTAGCCATTTTTGATTGTAAAATCCAATGGGGTTAACTGTACTCCCAATGTTCTACGACCATCACTGCTGTGTATTTCCACAATGCTTTCATCACCTCAAAGAGAACCTCTGCACCTACTAAGGTTTAACTCCCAATCTCCTCCCCTCCCACAAGCCCAGGGTAACCACTAATCTACTTTCTGTCTGTACGTATCTGTCCATTCTATATATTTCATATAAATGGGATCATAAAACTATTTATTGTTTTGTGTCTGGTTTATTTCACTTAGTATGATGTTTTCAGGTTCAAGTATGTTATAGCATGTATTAGAAGTTTTTATGCCAGTCAAGATGTTGACTATAAACTCAAGAGAGACCCCCTGAACAGAAACACCCAATGAAGTCACTCTTAATTCTTGACCCACAGAAACTATGTAAGATAAGAAATGTTCATTGTTATTTTTAAGTCACAAGTTTTGGGATAATTTGCAGTAATAGATAACACAGTTCCCCTTTCAGAAATATGAGCAGTAAGAGAGATGGGGTAGGACAGAGGAGAGGTAGATACATCCACACTGTAAAGTGTTCTCGCAATCCAGCTACACACAGTGTTACCTTTCAGTCTTACATACCAAGATCCTTCTAGCATCAGGGCCTTTGGACACACTGTTCCCTCAGCCTGTATCAAGACAAATTCTCTTTTTTTCTTTGTCACCTAATTCATTCATTTGATTCATTTAACAAATATATATTAAATTCCAATCAAAGTTCTGGGCCATGGAAAATACAGTGAATGAAAGTCCTTCCTTAGAGCCTACCACCTAGTGAGAGGTTCTCTGTCTGACCTCAACTAGGTTCATCCTTTTATATCACTCAGTAAAACCTTATTCTTCCCTGTGTATTTATCATAATTTAATTAAATATCTAGTTTCCTTATTAGACTGTAAGCTCCAGGAGTACAAAAAACATGTTTCAATCTAATTCACTGCTATCTGATTTCTTGCCAGGTATCAGGCATCCAGCAGGGACACAATAAATGTTCACTCAAGGGTTTCTGGAATTCTGGGCTGGCTCTATTTACAGCCAGGATTCTCTTACTCACTGAACCCTCAATAATTCAAATCCAGTTTCTACAAAATATCTGTTATTTGCAAACAAGTTTTGAGAAAATGGCTTAAATTCTAGAATCAGTGAATTTATTAACTTATTTAAATTACAGTCTGTGAGCATGGTGGTAGAGGATGAAAACATGGTTAAAGTTCCTTTTGTTTTTTAATTTAAATTTCTAAATAATCTCAGGAAATGTGAACACAGTCCTTACATATGAATCATACATACATACATATATATATATATATATATATATATATATATATATGTTGTTGTTATATACCGTCGAGTCAAACCTGACTCATAGCGACCTATCCTTGGGCTTCCGAGGCAGTATCGCTACGGAAGTAGACTGCGCAACCTTCCTTCCGAGGAGTGGCTGGTAGGTTTGAACCAACAGCCTTCTGGTTAGCAGTCAAGTGCCTTAGGCCCTATGCTACCAGAACTCCTATATATGTATGTATGTATTTATTTACATATTAAGTATACTTTGGTTTCTTGATTCATGAATATACTAAGTAATGAATCAGAAGAAACTGAAGTATACTCAAAAACCTTCTGTTTTACTGAATATACTTCTATCAATAATCTCTCCAGACAAGGTTTTAAGTACTTACTGAGTGCTCTTTTAGGCACTGAGAATATAACAGTGAAAAAAAAAAACCAGACAAAAATCCTGCCTTCGTGGTGCTTAAACTATAGTGGAACAAAGGGGCATCAGGAAATAAAGATAGATAAAATTTGTATTATTTCAGATCCAAAGGAAAATAAAGAAAACAAAACAAAACAAAAACACAGGAAAAGGAGCTAGGGAGCACATGAGGAACTGTAATTTTAGACAAGGTGTCCAGGCAAAGTCTCTGAGAAGGTATAAAGAAACAAAAGAGGTGAAAACAAGAACTATTTGGGATTATCAAAACCAAAACCAAACCAAACCCACTGTCATCAAGTTGGTTCTAATTCACAGTGACCCTATAGGACAGAGCAGAACTGTCCCACAGCGTTTCCAAGGCTGTAAATCTTTATGGAAAGAGAATTGCCTCATCTTTCTTCTTCAGGTGAAGAGAATTCCAGGCAAAGGAAATAGCAAATAAAAACGTTCTAAGAGCGTGCCTGGAGGGTTTTAGGCTCAGCAAAAAGCCAGTAAGGCCAAAGGAGAGTAAATGAGAGAAAGAATGAGAGATAAGGCAAGAAAGGTGTCACACTGTAGGCTCTTCAAGTCACTATAAATACACTGTAAATACTACAAGTGTGATGAGAAGCCATTATTTCAATTTTATTTTAGGATGAGTGGAGGTGAGGTCCATTTCCATTGGGGAACCCCTTAAAGTCAGTATCTACAGATGTCTTCTCTTGAGCAGGTCAATTTACCCAATAAAGAAACCCTGAATCTCCTTCCTGGAGAAGTAGCAGTCAAGAAATCAAATGATGTACTGTATCAGCCAAATCTCCTGCAAAAGACCTCTGTAAAGTGTTAAAAAGCAAACATGTCACTGAGGACTAGGTGCACCTGATCAAACCATAGTATTTTCAATCACATATACATCCAAAAGCTGGACAACAAATAAGGAAGACCAAAAAACTGATGTATTTCAATTACTGTGATGGCAAAGAAATACTGAGTACACCATGGATTGCCAGAAGAATAACCAAATCTGTCTTGGAAGAAGTAAAGACAGAATACTCCTTAGAAGTGAGGAAGGCCACTTCACTCCAAAAAACTCCCAGAAACTACTAAATGGTTTCCAGAGTAGTTGGACTGTGTTGTATTCCCACTAGTACTGTATGAGAGTTCCTGATGCTGTGTATCCTTGTTAGCAATTAATATTGCCAGTATACCTCATGTTCGCTGTTCTAATAGGTATACCATACTTAACTATTAGCACAAAAATGACTTAATCTCATGTACTTTGGATGTGTGATCAGTAGGGTGGTCCCTGCAGAAGGACATCATGCCTGGTAAAGTACAAGGTCTGCAAAAGAGACTTCAATAGATGGACTGACACTGTGACTGGTACAATGGCTTCAAACACAGCAATGGCTATTGCAACGGTACAGGACAGGGCAGTGTTTCATTCTGTTCTATGAGTCAAAACCAATGCAATGGCACCAAAGAGCAACACCACCACCAATTAGCCTTCTAGGTGCCATTCTCAGTTTTACCCCGTTTCCAGGATTTTAAAGACTCCAGACTTATCTTTTGCTCAGTAGAAGAGGGAACATAGGGGTCCAGTGATTCCTTTAATTAGCTTTGAAGTAATTTTACTGCTTTTAGCCCAATTCCACATCTCTGATCCTCAGAGATTTGAAGGTATAAAATGGGATGCCTCTTCATGACTGTCCACCTGGAGGCTTAGGATTAAATTTTCTCTGCTCTAAGCCATCTGTAACTTACTACTATTTTCCATCTTCCAGAGCTGTCTCTTGTTCATTTTATTTTTTAGGGATGGGATAGGTAGGTATAGTTCTACTTTTATTCCTTTATTGTCTCTCTCGTGGGATTTTGTAAAGCAGAGATAAACATGTTTACTCCACTATCCTTAACCAGAAGACACCAATCATTGTTTTCAAACATTTTTATTCCTTAATACACAGTATAACTGACTTTTTTCGGTATGTATTCAGTTCTTTTTTTTTTTTTTTAAATTGTGATTTGGGTGGAAGTTTACAGAGCAAATTCACTTTCCATACAGCAGTTCACATACACTCTGGCTCATGACATTGACTACAATTTACCCCAATGCAACAGCTCCCCTTCCACTTCCTCCCAATAGTCACCTCTTCCCTGTGTCCTTCCCTCCCATGCCCTCCTGCCCCTGAGCTATGTCCCTGTGCATACATAGCCCTTCTATTCTCCCATGATTGTTCTCTCCAAGGAGTGGATCTACCTAGTGTAAATGTTCACCTCATATGCCTGTCTTTCAGTTCTGTGAGTATTACACACATGTGTAGTATTGTGTAACTACCACCAAATCAGAATACATACAATTCTATCACTCCAGAAAAACCCAAGAAACTACTAAATGGTTTCCATAGTAGTTGTACTGTTTTGTATTCCTACTAGTACTGTATGAGAGTTCCTGATGCTTTGTATCCTTATTAGCAATTAATATTGCCAGTATACTTCATGTTCGCACTTCTAATAGATATACCATACCTACTTATCAGCACAAAAATTATCAGAGGATACTGAAATATAGAGAAATTTATAGGCCAACCCTGAATACATCTTTCTCATAGTTAATCTCACCTACAACTCTGTAGTAAACGTTTTCTCTGAAGAAGTATCTGAGAATTACTTGGATAGAGAGGATGAAAAAGAAAAAGAGTGTTTAAAAAATCCCCAATATTCTCTCCAAATTCCTTTTTATTAGTTAGAGAGAAAAAAAAAAAAAATCAATTTAAAACTTGCTTCTAAAGGATATATTTAAGTTGCCAGAAATGAAAACCAAGGGCATCATTTATTCTCTGCTAAAAAAAAAATCCACATTAAGATTAATTAGAAAAAAAAGAAAGCAAAGATCTTAAGGATTACAAGTGCTCTTCATAATGGTTTTCCTAGGCCTTTACCTTTAGCTGGGGCGTCTATTCAGCTCGTTTCACAGTTACGTTTCTTTCTACATGAACGTCACCAGTATCCCAAAATACAAAAATGCTATCTCTAATTTACAGGAGCTTTGGTGGCATAATGCCTAAGGCATCTGACTGCTAACCAGAAGGCTGGAGGTTCAAACCCACCAGCCACTTCTCAGAAGGAAGACTGGGCAATCTACTTCCGTGGTGATACTGCCTCAGAAACCCAAGGAAGGGTTGCTATGAGTAGGAATCCACTTGACGGCAGTGAGTTTAGTTTTTTCACTCGACGGCAAACAACAATTCATACACAATTCAAATTCACTGTGGGGTAAGCAGTGTAGAGTGTACTGTTTTAAAATGACAATAAATTCTGTAATATGGAAAGAATAAATGGGAAGATTTCTACCAGTAAGTTTCAAAAGAAATAAAATTCTTTTGGCTTTTTTATTTGAACAATGTCATAGATTCATTTTCCTACCTTTTCCAGTTCCTTCCAATCATAGTTTGTATTTCCAATCACCATAGCTTGCAGCTCATTAGGCTGGAAGAGCTGAAGGACTTTTCCTCCACAGACCTTATGAAAGCCCGCATGAAAGGCATCAAATAGGGAAGCCACTGATTTATTGAATATGTAATCCACATAAGCATCAACAAACTCCTGGCTAGAAATAGAAAAGCACGCATGTACAGATAATTATAAAAATAATTTTTTTATGGAGAATACATAATCCTATTAAAACTTTGAAGGTTCTAGCTTTTTTTTTTTTTAACTTAGCTACAAAACCAAGAAGGTATAATAAGTAGAGTTGCAGACTCATTCTACAGTCGTTTGTAGCCTATACCCGTAACTGAAATGTGGCATTTGCTAGTAGGCAGAACAATTCAAATGACTATCAAAATAATTTTTAAATATTCACAAATTGAGAACTTTCATGTACCACACCACACACATGCCTAAAAAGAGTAATCTGTTAAACTATATTCCAAACCAAATAATCACAGCCACTGCCACTGAGTCAATTCTGACTGATAGCACCCCTGTTGGATTTCCAAGGCAGTAAATCTTTAGGGAAGTAGATTGCCTCATCTTCCTTCTGTGGAGTGGCTGGTGGTATGAACCACCAATCTTCTGGTTAGCAGTCAAATGTCTTAGGCACTGTGCCATCAGAACTCTTTAAAATATATTAGGTGATGAAAAATAAGACCTTTGGGATCCAGACTATCTAACAGAATATAGAATCTTTTGTTTTCTCTTTGGGTTTCAAAGAATCTGAACACCGTTTATTTTTAATGTGGCTATCTAGTCAAACAAACAGTGAGAAAAGGTACTATAGGACTTCAGTATTTCATACTCATGTCTTCCAAACAATAAAGGATGATTCTACAAATGGGAATACTAGTAATTTTAAAAGCTACAGATATTCTGCTTATCAAGTCAATAAAGTTAAAACAGACCACTCTGAAATATACCAGTGTTACCTGGGCCTAATATCATATGCTATTAGGTTCTCTTTAGTAGAAACATTTTTTATTTTATTTAATGTAATGCAAAATTTTATGATTAATATAGTCAGAAAGTCAAATCTGTTTATACTAATAAATCCATTAGGCATAAAAGGTTAAGCTGTTTTAGGAGATGACATCTGGTGGCATAGTGAGTAAGGCACTTGACTGCTCTGTGGAAGGAAGACTGGGCAATCTGTAAAGATTTACAGCTTCGGAAACTCAATGGGGTTCACTATGAGTCAGAAATGACTCGATGGCAGTGAGTTTAGTTTGGTTTTAATAGTTTCATTATTTAACTAGGATTTGTAGTACAAATATAAAAATTCTTTAAATTTTCTGGGAGCTAAATAATCTGTGAAATAATATAATTAAAACAATTAGTCTAACAATAGAAACTTTAAAAGGAGGAAAATACTCTTTCTAAATCATAGTCAATTTTTTTAAGAGGACAGCTAGAAGTACCTAAAATTTTCACATCATTTAAAAACAGTTTTATTGTTATCAAAACCAGGTATTTGCATAGTTTAAAATGTCAAATAGTAATAATCATAATAGCTAGCATTTACTGAGCACGTACATTTGTTAGAAACTATTCTAAGCATCTTACAATTACTGTCTCATGTAACCCTAAAAACAACTCTTCTAAGTAGGTATAATTATCACTCCATTTTATAGACAAGGAGATCGAGGCATGATGACATAAACTAATTTACCTTAAGCCACACAACTTTAAAGAAGCAGAATCAGGATTAAAATCACTTGGATTAAGTCCCTTACAAGAGCCACCAAGTTAGTTTGTCTAAAGAATTAAAATAAAATAGAATAGACAAAGCAGCTTTCTGTATTGCACACCTCTCTACCTGAATTCTAGCTATTCAAAGGCAACTATTTAACTCTTTTTTGCTATTCCTTCTGATATTTACCTTCAAATTTCTAGCCTAGTTCTGTTATTCCTTGATTTTCATTTTAAGTATCATCTAAAGGCACAGTTTACCTTGTATTTAATTGTCCCGCTCCAACATTCCTCTTCCCTATATTCTCATTATATATTTATATAACAATTATTGGTTCAATAATCATTAGTTAGTATGATTATATATATTGTTCACACCTAAACTACAGAGTATACCATGGTTACATTTCTTAAAGAGAATTTTTGTTTCCCTTAGTTTGCTACTTCCTCCCTGTGGTAGTTAAATTTGTATGTCAACTTGGCTGGACCTGGCAGAGTGGCTGAGCAGCTGGTGGTAGTTATTATTCTCCATGATGAGTGGCAATCAACTCCCTGGTAGGATCTACCACAAGCAGCTAAGTAGCTGCTTTTGGGATGTGGTCTGCTTCCTGTATATAAGGAGAAGCCTTGGGGAATGGTCTCTAGCTTATGGCAGGCTGGGACCCTGCATGTAGCCGTGTCATTGTCAGCAGCCTGCCATGCTCTGCTGACCTTGGGACTTAAAGGGCTTAAATTAATGGCCTGCCATGTGGTTTGGTAACATCAGGACTGTGCCTCTTTGCTTGTCAGCCTCCTCAGCCAGCAGCTGTCTGAGTGAAGAAACGCCTCTAGCGCCAGTGGGCCAGAAGCAGGAGGCAGAGCTGGACCCCCAGTTTGAGGGGCTTTCACCCAGCCCCTAGAGCCTGGCACTTTGAACTCAGACTTCTAGCCTTCCGAACTGTAAGAGAATAAACTGTTTGTTCAAGCCATCGCATTTGTGGTATATTCTCGTCAGAGCCGGACTAGATAACCAGAACACTCCCCAACTTCTCCAATAGAAATGTCAATCTCCTCTCAATTCACTCAATATATTACATAGCATGAGTTTCATTTTTTCCCTAGAGATAGCCATTCTGGCCCTCTGTCCTCCTGATCCAACCTGGACTGGTTGTTCTTTCTAAATCTAAATAGCTGCTGTCCCTTTAGAGGGAGTTCCTCTTTGCCTCTCTCCTGTATTGGATCCTTTCGCCCCTACCCCTAATTTTTCGACTCCTGTGTCCTCCTCTTTCTTGGTTTAATTCCTTGTTTTGGTAGAACATATCCTCCAGTAATGTCCTGTGAAAAATATATTGGAAGTAAATTCACTGAGACTGCATGTATGGCAATGTTTTTATAAGTTACATACTTAATAGTTATATATATATATAGAACTCTAAGTTAAAAATAATTTGCTCCCAGAATTTTGATTCTCTAGCTTCCAATGTTCTTTTTTAAATGGCTGATGGTACTTCGATTTTTACTTTTTTTTTATACGATTTACTTTCTTCTAGAAGATTTTAAGATCTCTGTTTCTTCAAGGATTTAAAAATTTCATGTAACTTGCCTGGCATCCTTGGGTGGTACAGACAGTTAACACACTTGGCTACTAACTGAAAGGCTGGAGGTTTGAGTCCACCCAGAGGTGGCTTGGAAGAAAAGCCTAGCTACCTACTTCTAAAAAAATCCACTATGGAATTTTTTGATAAGGTTGGAAAACCCTACGGAACACAGTTCTACTCTGACACATGGGGTCACCATGAGCTGAAGTCGGTTCAACGGCAACTGGTTAACTGGTGCCTTGGAGTGGTTCTGTTTTCATTTCCAATGCTTTCAATCTCGCAAGGCACCTCATTTTGTTATGGAAAGTTTCCTATACCATTTCTTTGATAAATTTCATTCCATTACATTCACTGATTTCCGCCCCCACCACCAATTTTTTAATAGTATCCACCTAGATGTTACTCTTAACACTTTGGGGATATTAATTTCAATTTCTTTTAAAGTTTTGGTCTTCATTCTGCTTGGTTTCTGTTTCTTTGGCGTTCTTTACAACTGTTTTCGTTTGCTTTTTCCTAAATGCCTATTGACTTTTGGCTATTCATTCACAATTAAATTAAGCAGTTTCTCCACAGAAGAATCCTCTGATATCCACAGTCAAGATGAAGGGAGCTACACGCTTTCACTTAATCTCCACTTTCAATTCAGCCTCTTCTCTTTAGCTGAGATGAGGTATCCTCAAAACACAGTCCCTTTAGTTTAGCCTCTCTGGAACGTACACTTCTGATCTGCTGTCCAGACTACTGTCCAGTAGTCTACATTTGCCAGACCACTGATATGCTAAAGGAAAAGAATTTCTAACTGGTTCTTTTTACAGCCAGTCTTTCTGTTTTTAGTATTCTCCCAAGGCCCATACACTCTCCAAAGTACTTTGTATTCTTCATGCTTAACCCTTTGTTCTGCAACATGAACTGCCTGCCTTCTTGGCCTCACAGTCCATCTTATGTTGCAGCTTTCTCTGATTGGCTTATATTAGTTACCACTGTTATCTGGCCTCCAAAAACGTGTTGCTACTCTCTCCTCTCTATTCTCTTTGTTCTTGTGGTTAAGATTTTTTTAAAATCCCTTCAATGATGTTTTAAAGGGACTTCAGGAGTAAAAAGTAAATAACTTCTTCAACAACCATTCAAAAACTAAGTTTTAGTTGAGTAAAAACTTAAGGCTGTGATATTTTTCTAAATACAGGGGAAAAGAAAAGCTACCAATCGTTATAACTATCACTAATATGGCCATAATTCACTTACCGATTTTGTTTGTTAACAGCTGTGTCTGCACCATTTAGAACCAGCTCTTTCACTTCTGTTGCACCAAAGTTTTCAACTGTGATCTATTAAATTTTTTAAAAAAAGTCAACGTCAGACTCAAACCTTTAGAGTATTTTAATAATCTATTATATTCTAGGTTTCTTTTGTTAAATGTAAATAGTAAATTTGAGGTAATTTTCTGCTACCATTAAGGTTACTTGTGACTTCTTCATAAAAGCATGACTAAAAATTTTCATCCTTTCTAGTAGTCTGAATTCCTATCTTGACTAATTATAAATCACTAAGTGTTTAGTTAATTAAGAACAGGAAACTGGTTATGCACAAAACTTTAGAAAAGTCACTTTAGGAGTAAAGCATTAGAAAGGATGTTTTCCTGGGACAAGTGATAGAATCCAAGTTTAAATGTGTATTCAGCTTAAAACAGGTAACATTATAATCGTTACTTCTGTATTTTTTGTATCTGCCTTGTCGAACGCTTGATCACAGGTGGTTTTTCCACTTTATGTCAGTTATGTCACTTTAAGACAGTCGGTAATTCTCAAACTTTTTATTAATCTGTTAAATCCTCCAAATATTACCATTCCCACCTTGCATCTTTTCTCTTTCTTTTCCCTATTTTTGGAATACTATCTTCTTATTTTAGAACATCTGTTTAGTATCTGCTAACCAGTGCTGGGATCATAATGTATGGAAATGAACAATACATCCTTGCCCTGGAGTTTACTATACAGTAAAAGAGAGGGAAATGTGATATGTAAATAACTCACTATCATAAAATAATGTTATAATAAACATAAAATTTCCTAAGATGATACAGGAAACAAAACTGATCTAACTAGAGGAAGCATGAAAAACTGAGGAAGAAATGCCACTTGAAAAGCACCTATAAGGATGGGTAGGATTACACATATTTTGAAGCCCATTCTAAATCTATTATTCTGCAAACAATAGAGAGCCACTAAAAATCTGAAAGAAAGAAATGGCAGGGTGGAGGAATGTTTGTCTGATTTACTATAGAGTTCTTGAATATACTAAAAGTTTATACACTGCTGATTAACAAATTAGAAATCATCTTGCTTAGGTCCAAATTTTTCAGAGAATTAAGATGATCAATAAAGATCCAAGGACAAATGATAAAATAAATGAAATAAGGGAATCAATTGAAAAGAGGAACCAAAACTTCCAAGTAAATAGAAAAAGTCCAAAGATTATATTCTCAGGGGGAAAAAAAAATTATGAAAATAAATTTATCCATTTCATGTTAAATTTACTATATTTTGCTGTAACTCTATTATGTGGCATTAAAAAAATAAATAACCAAAGAACGGATAAACGTCCTTGGGGGGAGCAGATCATTTTTCTAGCAAACTGTATGACAGGAGAATGAATATGGTATCTTTTGTTAGCTTTGATTAGAAGATCATAAAGTGGGCTGTTTTAGAGGAAAACAAACAAAAATTAAAAAGAAAAGAGTTTCATCCCTTCCCCCACAGTCTAATTTACAACATTCAAAGTACTCCTTTCTAAAGTGCTTTATCGTAATTCTTCTGGATTTTCTCTTCTTATTGCCAAGTGGTCTAATTCTGCTAGATCCTCATTTGTCAGTGGCTTTGCATGTGACTGGGTAAGTTATTCAACATCCTTCTCACAGATTTAACAGAAGTTTGCAGCTTTTAAAAGATCTGTAATTTCATTTTCCAAATAGTATTCCAATGTATTTGCATTTGTACTGTGAAAGTCATCTAACAGCGAGTGACTAAGACAAGATGGACAAAGGATTCTGTGAAGCAGAAAGGCATGTCTGAATGGGAATTAACCTTTGAAATGGTACGTTCATTAATGAACATCCTTATGTTATGATAACCTTTTGCTTCTGGAAAAATTCCTATAATTACAGGCTAAAAAAATGAACACCTGGATTAAGAGGACTGCTAGAATTTTTAAAAATCTTTGCAAAATGATAAAGCACACAGGCTCTGAAGTCACACATCTGGGTATGAATATTGCTTCTGACATGTAACAATTATTTTCAGTTTTCTTTACCTGTCATATGGGGACAATAATACCAACCATATGGGATTTTTATAAGACTTAAAAAATAATGCATGCATCATGCCTAAACCAAAAAACCAAACTCGTTGCCGTCGAGTTGATTCTGACTCAAAGTGACCCTACAGAACAAGAGTAGAACTGTCCTCCAGTGTTTCCAAGGCTCTAATCGTTACTGAAACAGATTCCTACATTTTCCTCCTGTGGAACAGTTGGTGGGTTTGACCCGCTGACCTTTTGGTTAGCAGCCAAGTGCTTACCCACTGCACCACCAGGACTCCTTCTGTATTGTGCCTAGCACATAGTGAATGCTTAATATTATTAGCTAAAGGGTTCTTTAAGAATCGTACCCACCAAAATAAAGAAAAAACATAAGCCACATCTGTTAAATAAAAGAGCTAATGAATAATCAGGCTAACCTATGTCTTTTCACCTTACCGTAAAATTAAGACAAAATGTTTCCTCTATATCATCTTCTGGATAATCCAGTAATTGTTGCATGCTTCTGCAAAACAACATATGTTCTTTTGAGGTAAAATATTATTGGGTATTTTGACTGTTTTGCTTATGAATATCTATTTCTTATTCACTTTTTGAGAAGTCCTTTTGTTAATTTGTACTTTTATGTTTGCTTCAGAACAGTGATGTGTAATGGCACACTTATAAACTCTGAGGTGGAAAAAAAGTACCTTACCTATCCATTTGCAACATTTGTCCTTATATACAATTTTTATTTCATTTGTATGATAAATAAAAAAGTAGTTTTACATAGTCTAGCTAGGAATGAAGCTGATCAGAAGTAATAGTCCAAATAAATCATTCAACTATTTCGTAGGAAAACATGATATTCTGATATTTATTATCTGATATTCATAAAGTATTATAAAACCATTGGAAATACAGCAAATGATTTTACACTCATTATCTTTTAGCAGAAAATTTTGGTTTCAAGTAAAACAGTAACTGATTTTCCTTTATTAGAAGGATTTTTGTTTATCTGAAAATATAACAAGACAAAAACAAAACAGAATTATTCCTAGAAGGAAAGTTCTCTGTCCATTACCCATTTTCTACCTCCCAAACTCCACCCCTGACAATGTTTTAACAACTAACCTTCCAACATCAGGCACTAGTTCTTTCAAATCATCCAGGGATGGCTTTTTTTTCAGTAGTTTCTTATATAAAGCCAAAGGAAAATGGAGGTCCACAATAGTAAAGTTATAAATTGCTAATCCACAGATAACACCAATCAAATGGAACAAATCACTGTCTTCAAATGTCTAAGACATAAAAGGAAAGGAAAAAAACCAAACAACTTAAAAGTTTGTTGAAACTTTAACAAACACTACAAACTTTTTTCAAGTTAACACTAAAGTTTAAACTTTTTTTTGATTATAAAAACACATGCATATAATATAAAAATCTGAAAATACAAAAAACAGAAATGAATGAGAAGAAAAAAGTTCACCTTTATTTCTATTTCTCTTGGATGAAATTAGTATTTTTTACATATTTCTAGTCTAATGACAACAGGAAACTGCCAGAAATTCAAGCCAGATTCAAAAGATGACATGAAGGAGGGACATCACTGTTGTTAGATGGATCTTCAATTAAAGCAAAGAATACCAAAAAAGATGTTGATCTGTGTTTTATTGACTATGTAAAGGCATTTGACTACGTGGATCCTAACAAATTATGGATAACACTGCAAAGAATGGGAATTCCAAAATGTTTGTGCTCATGAGGAACCTGTACACAGACCAAGAGGTAGACGTTCAAAAAGAATTGCTTCAAAATCAGGAAAAGTGTGTGTTAGGGCTGTGTCCTTTTACCATACTCATTCAATCTATATGCTGAGCAAATTACCCAAGAAAGACCACATGAAGAACAATGCAGCATTAAGACTGGGGGACGATTCATGAACAACTTAGAATACGCAGATGACACACCTCTGCTTGCTGTAAGTGAAGAATACTTGAAGCACTTACTGATGAAGATCAGTTTGGATTATATCTCAACATAAGAAAGCAAAAATCCTCACAATCAAACCAATATGCAACATCATGTATAAATGGATAATAAGTTGAAGTTGATAAGGATTTCATTTTATTTGGATCCAAAATCAACGCCGATGGAAGCAACAGTCAAGAAATCAAATGACATACTGCACCGGGCAAATAGGCCTTAAAGTATTTGTTTGCAGTGTTGAAGAGCAAAGATGTCACTTTGAAGACTAAAGTGTGCCTGACTCTAGCCATGGTATTTTCAATAGCTTCCTATGCATGTGAGAACTAGACAATGAATAAGGAAGATCGAAGAAAAGCTGATGCATATAAGTTGTGGGGTTGGTGAAGAATACTGAAAAAATCATGGATTGCAAGGAGAATAAACAAATTTGTCTTAGAAGAAGTATAGTTAAAATGCTCCCCAGAGTGAGAGTGGCCTGACTTTGTCTCATCTACTTCGGCCATTTTGTCAGAAGGGGCCAGTCCCTGGAGGGTATCATGCTTGATAAAGGAGAGGGTCAGTGAAAAAGGAGATGGTCCTCAACAAAATGGATCAACACAGTGGCTGCAGAGATGGGTTCAAGCATAGCAATGACTGTGAGGATAGTGCAGGACTGGCAGTATTTTCTTCTAAGTGTTAAAAAAATATAAATCTAGCTGAGATCACTAGACACACACACAAATAAAACTTCCTAACTAGGTTTTTCAAGAAATAAGACATTTTCCATGTCATTAAACATTAAGTTAATAAACAAAATTATCAGAATTTCTTTCCTAATTTAAAATATAATGTTGTTGTTGTTATGTGCCGTTGAGTTGGACCTGACTCATAGCAATCCCTCCTTGGGTTTTCGAGGCGGTATCACTATGGAAGTAGATTGCCCAACCTTCCTTCTGAGGATACACATCCAGAATTTGGAAAATAAAAAAGAGATGAAAAATACCTGTAACCTATACTCAGAAGCAATGATTTACATTTATTTTTTTTGTATTTCCATCAACTTTAAGTCTGGAAAAATAATTAAAAATATAAAGCTTTTAAGGCTTTAGCTCATTTTTCTAATTACAACATGAGCATACTTTTACGTCATTAAATATTTTTCCAGAACATGACTTTTAATGACAGCACATTACTTCAAGTATAAATACTCAAAAACCAAACTCACTGCTATCAAGTTGGATCCAACTCATAGTGACCCCTCCTTGGGTTTCCGAGGCAGTATTACTACAGAAGTGATTGCCCAGTCTTCCTTCTGAGGAGTGGCTGGCTGGTGGGTTTGAACCATGAGCCTTCTGGTTAGCAGTCAAATGCCTAGGCACTATGCCACCAGAGTTCTTTGATAAATCAGCTATTTTACTATAATTGGACATTTAGTTATTAAAACATTGAAAATATTGTTTCATTTTTTTCCTCATCAAGTTAGAGAAGATAATGATGTTCATAAAAAATTCTGTGTGACTGTTTAGAGATTAAATAGTATCTCTCCCTCCTGAAACCCCTTCACACAAGAAGAAAGAAATAAAAAATACCATAAACTCACAGGAAAAAAGATAACAGGATAGAGTTTACAAGCATTAAAAAGATGTTAGCGAAGTTTCAAAGGAGGAAAAATCAAACAGATGAGTGGTAACTGACTAGGTGAAGCAGAAAAAACAAAAACATTAGCTTGCAGGAGGAAAGACAATGAAAAACAAGGTAGTTTGTGCTACAAGCTCATGAACTGAAAGAATCAGTATCTATGAGTCAAGGATAAGGATAAGCTAGCTGAGTTAGAAAACCGTAAGACTGAAAGTCAGAGGTATTCGAATGGATCTGAAAATAGGACAGTTGGTGGAAAGTCCTGTTGTGGAAAGGTTGGACCAAAGAGGCTCTGCAATCTGGGACAACTGAAGGGTCTATAACGAACAATGAGCGGATCCTAGCTTCCCTTCTCTGAGTTCAGCTACCAGAACACTAATAAAATCCACTGCTTGTTCAGTTGATTCCGACTCAGCAACCCTACGAGACAGAGTAGAGCTGCCTCCTATGGTTTCCAAAGCTGTAATCTTTACAGAAGGAGACTGCCTCCTCTCCCCTCCATGGAGGGGCTGGTAGGTTTAAACCAACAACCTTTTGGTTAGCAGTTGAGTGCTTTAACCACTGCTCCACCAGAGTTCCTTGCAACACTGACAGCCAGGGTTATAATCTTTCTTGAAAACCTCAAGTGAAAAACAACTGTATATATATACTGACAATTTAAGAGTTTCCCCTTATCACTCTATGGATGAAAACAGTAAATCAATAAACATATATACACAGTATCTAGGTAGCTTTTAAGCAACAAACTCCTAGTTGTTTTTGTAGACAGCCACTAATCACAAGAAAAAGACAAAAGACATAAAAAGGTAACCTGCAAAATTTAGAGGTACTTCAGGAAACAAAAGAAACATTAAAAACAGAAGGGGAAGTACTAAAAATAGTATTACCTATTGCCATCAAGTTGTTTCTGACTCATAGCTACCCTACTAGAAAGACTAAAACTGCCCCAGAGGATTTCTTAGGCTATAACCTTTATAGGCACAGACTGCCACATTGTTCTTCTATGGAGTGGCTGGTGGGTTTGAATTGCTAACCTTTTCAGTTTGCAACTAAGTGCTTTAACCATTGTGCCACCAGGGCTCCTTAAAAGCAGTCATGGACCATAGATAAATGAATAGTTGTGACTTTACTTACAAAAATATGGGCTGGAAAGAATTAGAATTGTGGACCAAATTTTGCTGATCTCTGCCCTAAATGATGAACGACTCAATGATCCTTAAAGATCATTTAATTCTTCCCACAAGAAAGGTTAACCTGGTAATTATTATACAATCTCCAAATTCAAATAAGCACAAAAAAAGTCAACATTATTTCTGGACTGATTTTCCCCTAATTTATTTTGCTAATTTGAAATGTATGGTAACTATTAATGTGTTCTGATGACCCTAGATCCAGACAGTTTAAAATGTTATAAAGCGGATTTCTGAATAAAATGTTAGGAATCCAGTAATTATTCTCTTATTTACTGAGTTAATGTATTCAAACGTAAGTACATACTCAGAAGTAATTTAAATGGTTAGGACTTTTTACCTTATCAGAAAACCAAATGAGCCTGGAATCTTCATAATACCTAAACATGCCATATTTAGGATCCAATAATTCCCTCATGATGAGCAAGAAAAATTCTTTGCGTACCCCTCCTGCATCAACAGCATCTTCTCCAACAAAAATAACCTAGAATAAAACAGCACAATGCAAACACCGAATAGACTATAAAGAAATGAAAGTACATACTGGAGAGCCCTTGACATTTATTATTAATAAATGCTCAGCAATTATTAGCTTAAAATTAAAAAAAAAAAAAAATATATATATATATATATTTTTTAATATAAATACCAAAGATACATTAAAACGAATAGGAAATGGAGGAGAAAAAAGAGGTTTGCTTAACAGGCACAGAGTTTCTGTTAAGGGTGATAAAAAAAATTGGAAAATGGATAATGGAGATGGTTATATAAGTAAAAAATGTTAAAATGGCAAATGTTTTGTTATATATTAATTTTACCACAATAAAAGTAAACAGATTTAAAAAAAATAGGAAAACACTAAATACCATTTCTGAGTAAGATTCCCAATTATACAGAAGAAAACATCAAATTACCTTGAGAGGCTTTTTGTAATCTATATTCTTTGTTTTCCTAAGGACTTCCATTGCATCTCCTACAATATTTTCTCTACGCACCACTAGAATTAAGCAAGGATTCACAGATTCAATCACTGGGAGAAAAAGAGAGGAGACATTCTGTCTGTGGGCCTGGTCAATAGCCATCTAGGAAACAAAAGATTACAATTTTAATAACAATGCTACAAAGAAGTACCTCTGACTACATAAAATAAACTCTATTTTATTAGATAAATATTTATTTAATATTTTTATTATTATACATATATATTATATATATAATATTATTTAATATTTATTTAGATAAAAATTTATTAGATAATTAGATAAGGAGCTCTGGTGGCACAGTGGGTAAGGCATTTGGCTGCTAACCAGAAGGTCAGAGGTACAAAGCCACCAAGCTGCTGCACAGAAGGAAGATGGGGGCAATCTAGGATATGCTGTAATTCCTGTAGCAACCCCTATGCTACTGAATGCACAAAGCACCCAACCGTTTTCTAGTACAGCATAATAAACTGTTTATCTGAATTTTTAGAGTACCATTTTGAATTTTTTTATATTCATGTATGTGGGGCTTACATTAACTTCACCCAATATAATTTGATCTTTGTCTTCTGAGAGGTAACTCTAAACTCTTGGAATTTCCTAAGAGAGCTGCCTTTGCTATCTATAGGTCTCTAGACCAAACCTGACAGATAATGCTAGTGAGGTAACTTGCATGGGGACTAGCCAGGACAGAAAGACTATCTTTTTTTTTTTTTTTCTCCCAGAATTTGGTAGAGTCTTTATTCAGCTATAGCCGGGCTGTAGGGAATTTAAGCATTCTCCCCAGCTGCAGCTCTGAGCCTGATTTCTGCCAGAAAGACTATCTTGTGATACAAGCCAAGCTGGCTGGATAGGGGAAGGCATGACTCAATCGTGCCTTCATAATGAGGCCCCCAAAAAAGCTCTGGACAAGGAAGCTCCCTGGGCTTCCAGATTGGTGAAAAGCACTGATGAACCTAGGAAGTTAGCATGTCCCTTTCTGAGACATGGACGCTTAGTGTTGGGGACTCTCCCAGACCTCATGCTATGCGACTTTTCATTTACAAATTTACTACAGGAAAACTGTAATCATAAGATACCTTCTTTGAGCTCTGTGAATTACTCTAGCAAATTATCAAGCCCAAAGGAGGACTGGGAGCCAGCAGGTCAGAAGTGAGGGGGGCTGAGAATTTCAGAGCTAGTAGCTGGCATCCTAAAAGGAGTAGTGGGAAAATGCTAAATTTGTAGCCATCAGGGCAGAAGTGAGGGGAGCCTTGGGGATTCCCAAGCCTATGGCTAGTGTCTGAAGTCTTGGGCCCATTTGGCAGTCTGGAGAATTGTGTTTTTTAACTTGTAAGTGATGACCAAGCTTTGGGTGGTTATAGTCAGAGCAAGAAGCACTGCATATTGCAGCTGATGTCAGAACAGAACAGAGAAGTGAAAAGTGGGGATGTTAATACTACTGTTACCATTGCAGTCGATTAAGAAAAAGTGGAAAGATTGGATTTGATTCATCCCCATAATGTGTAACTAATAACACTGTTAAGTTAAAAAAGCACGGAACTTTGACAATACTGATAAATTAAAATTAATGGGGTATGGGTGGAAAGTGGCGAGAAAAAGAGAACAGCATAAAACAAACCTCTAAAGGAAAATAAGGAGCAGCCTGGCTAAGGCAATATTATGGAAAGTCATCTAGCAGGGTGATCACTATTACATGCTCAGAAACCAAGGCTTTGACCTTTACCATTTAAAACTTTTTGTTTTCCTGTGGTTTCCCCTGTGCTCTTGCTCTAAAATGGAATAGCATATGTTAAAAAAAACCAAGTTATTAGCTTAATGTTTTAAGTAGTTAGTATAGGGACCTAGAAAAAATTTCTTCTCTTAATGAAAACGTAAACCAGCAAATTTCTAAAATACCCCCACAAAATCAAAACTCACTGCCATCGAGTTGGCTCTGGCTCACAGTGACCATCACATGGGGATTCTGAGGCAGTAAATGTTTACAGAAATAGACTAAAGATCACCTATTATGGCAAGTTTCAAATATTTATTTTGAATGTAAGTATCACAGAAACAATTCAAAAAACCCTCAAGTCAGATTAGTACTATAGTACCATCTTCCTTCTGAGAAGCAACTAGTGTGTGTGAACCGCCTACCTTCTGGTTAGCAGTCAGAGCCTTAGGCACTGTGCTACCAGAGTGTCTTTAAATACCCTCTGTTGTTGTTGTTATGTGCCGTCGAGTCGGCCCCGACTCATAGCGACCCCTCCTTGGGTTTCCGAGGCAGTATCACTACGGAAGTAGGATTGCCCAACCTTCCTTCCGAGGAGTGGCTGGTGGGTTTGAACCGCCAGCCTTCTGGTTAGCAGTCAAGTGCCTTAGGCACTATGCTACCAGGGCTCCCAAATACCCTCTAGTGTTTATTATTTATGTTGGAGGGATTTGAACACTGAATGCATTTATTTGAAAGGAATGAAAATAGCTATCACAATTTTAGATTTTTTTAATTATGTAAAGTATTTTTAGAATATTATGCCAATGTTTCTTCTCATCTTTTCCTTAGCCTTCATAGCCAGGTATTTTATATCAGAGAAAGAAACTCAGAAGCTATTTTACATACAGGCTCAAATGATGAAACACAGCTACTACAACCTTTCAAAGTCATAATGTAAAACAGTTTTTAAAAGCCTCATTATGAATGAAAGAATGCTTAATATTAAATGGCAGGTAGGGTGGAGAAGGAAGCAAGAAGGGATGAGATGACAACCAATCTTATTTATTAAGAAAACCTTCTTCAAGGAAACTTCTCCTAACAAGTGATGGAATACCTCCTACTTTAACATTATCTTACCTCTAGTCACTATCACTTTTTACCAATTATATGAACAGAAGATATATAATGAAGCAAGACAAACCAGCATTTTTATCAAGCAAATTAGTAACGGGAATATTTAATTTAAAAATATGACATTTTTGTAATAAAAGAAGCTTATTTCATTTTTCAGATATAAAATGTTTAAAGGCTAAATTATTGTATTTTCATCGACATACATATAAGCAGCCCTAATAAGATTACATCCATGTCACAGTCCTCTTTATAGGTACCCAAAAGATAGACACAAAGACATGAAATTTTTCTAAAGATAACTTATTATGACAAGTTTCAAATATTTACTTTTAATACAAGTATCAAGAAACAATTCACAAAACCCTCTTAAATCAGATTAGTATTATATAGTATTTTACCTGCATCTGTAAGACTGCATCTGTTTGTAACAGAGTAGTTTTTGCTTGGGCATCAAAGACGAAAGGATATGTGCAGATTGTAACAGGAATATCTGCCAACTAGAAGTAAAAAATTAACTTATTAGTACAAATTGATTTGTGATACACCTCTTTTGAATATTGTCATTTCCTGAAAAGCTGACTGTGTTTTTGGTTTATTCACTATTGTGTATTCAGGAATTATAAATATGACATATTGCATATTTCTGAATTTAGAATTTTTGTTAATTAGATGAGGCATTGCTATAAGCCAGTAAAACATATACATTGTAAATGATAATACAAGTATTTTCTGCCTAACATATATTAACTCTGAGTTTCAGTAAGCAATTTTTTTCCAAAATTGGTTAAGTTCTATATTATCAACTTAACAGCAACAAGTCTGGTTTTGGTTTATGTTAAATATAGTCTGCAGTTCATATATTAAGTTTGAACTCTAGCAACTGGCCAATATCTGAGGCCCACGATAGTAATCTATTCATTAATAGGTATTTACTGAGTGTCATTAGTATGTCCAACAACCTGTTCATTCATTTGGAATATAAAATAAGCACTACTAACGATATTATTATTCTCTATTAGCCTACAGGTTGGGAGAACTTATCTATTATTACCATTACCAAACATCAGTCACCCATACACAATTATTTATCCTAGTAGATAATGCAGTGATTGGCTGCTGAGTATTTTAACACTGTAATAAAATATAAACAGCTATGAACTATCAGCTACAGATTCTTGCAATTGGAAAAGGATCATTTCCTACTTTCTACTCAATAAGGCAGTATTTTTGTGACAGCCCTAACAGAGCTCCCGCTTTAAAGATTCTAGGAAAGATTTCAGATACTCTGAAATAATCTACTCCTTTTTCCAGTGATTATTAAGTTCTTTATATTAAGCCCAAATCTGCATTCCTATATATCACTCTACACCTCTTCATTTCATCCCTGAGGGGAAGTGTATATAGTTTAAAGATCATGCTTTCCCTAAGTTGTCTTCTTTCCACGTTAAAAATTCCCAGTCTTTTCTACCATTCTGAAAATAGTAGTTTCCACCTCTTCCAATCTAACTGCCTTCTTCTAAATGTATTTTAATTTATCCAAGTCTCTCTCTCTTAACTATAGCCACACCAAAACCAAAATAACTTAATGTTGCCCAATTAGTACAGAATAAAGTGAGACTATCAACTTGTTCTGAATCCTATAAGTCAACATGTAAGAAAATTTGATGAATTTTAACCTTACAGTTAATTACTACCCTTCACAGTATTTTCCGTATGTTACCTCCACCTTGGATTTGTATTACTAACTAACTACCGATTGAAGAAAGTCCTTTTAATTCTCTTAAGTATCAAAAAGATATAGACGATTTCTAAAGCCCATTTGTCCTGAAAACTCTGTTGTTGTCAGGTGCTGTCAAGTCGGTTCCCACTCACAGAAACCTTATTCACAACAGAACAAAATCACTGCCCAGTTCTGTGCCATCCACATATTCAATTCTGTGTTTGAGCCCACTGCTACATTCATTACATCAATTCATCTCATTGAGGGTCCTTCTCTTTTTCGCTGACCCTCTATCAAGCATGATGTTCTTCTCCAAGGACTGGTACTTCCTCATAACGTGTTCAAAGTAGGTGAGATGAAATTTCACCATTCTTGCTTCCAAGGAGCAATCCAGCCATACTTCTTCCAAAACAGGATTTCTTTGTTCTTCTGGTAGCCCACAGGATATTCAGTATTCTTCACCATAATTTAAAGGCATCAGCTGTTCCTTGTTCTTTCTAGTCACTATACAACTTTCACATGCATATGAGGTAAATGAAAATATCATGGCTTGGGTAATGTACACTTTAGTTTTCCAAGTGTCATCTTTACTTTTTAACACTTTAAAGAGGTCTTTTGCAGCAGTTTTGCCCAATGCAGTATGTCAAAACTCTGTGATTTTCCAATTGTATGTGCTACTTCTATTCGCAGATAAGGAAGCAAACAATATTAGATTTATAATTTAAGCTAACTCAAAATGCTTCAATGTGTCAAGTATTGGGGAAAGCGCACCAAAAACTAAAACAAAAAACTCTAAAATCCATATGAGATAAAAGACTTATAATAACTTTCCCAAGTGTTACAAGATGGTTTAGGGTTATTAGTAAATGAAGTCAAAGTGCTAGAACTTTGTATATTGAGGCAGTATGTGAGGCAAAGTGAGGAAAATGATCTTACAGAGTTTAATTACTTTTTAGACCATTTCAAATACTGTTTGTTTAAACCTTAACATCATTTCACATCTCTAAGAGAAAATGTTTCTGCCTTACTGGTAGGTATTAGTTAAACTTAAAAACAGTTTGCTTTTTATATTCTGACACATTCAATTTTATACACTGGAAGATTTAAGGAGAATAGAAACTAATTTTAACATAAGAATAATATGAGTATAATGTTAATTCAAAGAGAAGTTTTAATTTTCTTTAGAAAATGATTCTGAAATGTAATAAGGGGTAATCTTTCTAGAGTCCTACTTTAAATAACAATGATACACATGTTTTTTAAAAATCACATAAAAGAGGAACCATTGGTTCCCATCACTTAAGACAAAACAGTTTATCTCACACTGAAAATGAAACTTTATTATACCAAACTTACCTCAGTTAATCCATGGTTGACATCCTAAAACAGCAGTGCAGAATGTAACAATGAGGAAAAAGCAATGTTAGTGTCCAAATTTAACTATTTCTATTCAAAGTAGCATGGCATATATTTTACTGCAGCATAAAAGTAAATTAATGAGGTAGACCAAAATGTATCTATACAATAAAACTTACCCTTTCTACATGCCCCTTAGGTACCTGTTATCTATAAATGCAAGAACTCTGTTTCAGGTATCTTAAGATAATAAAATTATCAGAGGCTTGAACCTAGTAAAATTTGGTTTCAGCAACTAAGCTCTCTGCTGTTCCATGTACAGAATTTAGATAGAATAGGGAAACTGGTTCTAAGTCTGACTTAGCAAGTAAGAACTAAGACTTTAAGACTTCGTAATAATTTTGACAAATACTTGAAAGTATTTACTTAGTTAATTAAAATGCTACATGGTATGTGCCTCATACCATGCACAAAAACATTCAAAATGAATTAAAGACCTAAATATAAATATAAAAACTAAAACCATAACATTCTTAGAAGAAAATGCAGGGGCAAATATGCCAGGCCTAGCTTTTAAGAGACCAATCAAAAATAAAATATATATAAACAAAGGCACCAAATAGCAAAGACAAAATAATTAAATGGGACTGCATAAAACTAAAAACTTCTTTGGATACTTTATATCTAGTAAGAATCTAATAATTAAAATAACAACAAAATGACAAATAACACAATCAGAAAATGGACAAAGGACTTAAACAGACATTTCACCCAAGAAGGCATTCAAATAGCCACCAAACACATGAAGATGCTCAACGTCATTAGTCATAAGAGATGCAAATTAAAACCACAATGAGATACCATTTCACTCCCACTAAAATGGTTAAAATTAAAAACAACAACAACAACAACAAATGTTGGATAGGATGTGGATCAGTTGTACCTTATCTAATGCTGGTGGAAATGCAAAACAGTGCAGCTGTTGTGGAAAACAGTGTGGAGGTTCCTCATAAAACTAAAAATAGAACTACTATATTGTGGTGGCTGTTTGTACTTCATCTTGGCTGGGCCTGGTTGAGTGGCTGGGCAGCTGGATGTAGTATTATTCCCCATGATGAGACTGGTAATCAACTCCATGGTGGAATCTACTGTGAGGCTTAGGGATGTGGCCCGCTTCCTGTATATAAGGAGAAGCCTTGGGAAATGGTCTCTAGCTTATGGCATGCTTGGACCCTGCATGTAGCTGTGTGGTTGTTCGGCAGCTTGCCACACTCTGCCGACCTTGGGACTTTCAATGGACTTAAATTAATGGCCTGCCGTGTGGTTTGGTAACATTGGTACTGTGCCATTTTATTTGTTGACCTTGGGCTTGTTACTCTCAGCAGCCAGTAGCTGCCTGAGTGAAGAGATGCCTCTAGCTTCAGTAGGCCTTGAGCAAGAGCTGAAGCCCAAGGTCTAGGGGCTTTCACACAGCTCCTAGAGCCTGGCAATTTGAACTTAGAGTCTCCGAACTGTAAGAGAATAAACTCCTGTTTATTAAGGCCATCATTCCATTTGTGGTATTTTCTTGTCAGAGTGACACTAGGTAACCTAAACATATAGGACCCAGCAATTCCATTCTTAAATATATACCCAAAAGACTTGAAAGCAGAGACTTAGAGAGCTGTTTATCAATGTTCAGTGCAGCACTATTCTCAATAGCCAGAAGATGTAAACAACCTAAGTGCTCATCAACAGATAATCAATAAATAAAATATGGTACATACACACGATGGAATACTACTCAGTAAGAGAACAAAGTCTTCATATAGGCTGCAATCTGCATGGTGCTTTAAGTCATTATGCTGAATGAAGTAAGTCAATCACAAGAGGACAAATACTGTATGACCTAACATATGAAAAAAAACAAGAACAGGCAATTGTATAGGGACCAAAAGCTTGTTAGTGGTTACCAGAGGCAGGAGGGACGGGGAGTAGGGGATTACTCCTTATCAAGTACTGAGTTTCCATTTATGGTGACAGAAAAATTGCACTAATCAAGGGTATGGTTGTACAGCCAACTGACTTAAGTGCTGTCAATAAGCTGTATACCTAGAAAAAGATGAATTGGTAAAAGTTGTATGATACATTTACAACAACAAGCAGTGGCCAAGGCTATGTACAACCAAACCCTTCATGGGATTTGGTTCCTTGGTTTGGAGGTCTAGAGTCACGGTTTCAAGGGACATCCCAGTTAACTGGCCTAACATGTTTAGTGCTTTTGTTCCACCTCCTAGTTTGCTGCATAGTGCCTGGGGTCTCAAAAGCTTGCAAGTGCCCATTCAAGGCACAGTAATTGGTCTCTATTTGCCTGAAGCAACAGAAGGAGAGTGAAGAGGAGGAAGAAATGGAATGTGTAGCTAACTGCCTCTGCGAGTAACTGCTGCCTTTGCCATGAGACCAGAAGAACTGGCTAGTGCCTGGCTACCAATACTGAACACTTTGATCAAAGATTCTATAGAACAATCTGGATCAAAAGGGGTCAACGCAGAAAAGAATTTCACATTCTCATGGAACAGAGAATTTCTGAAGTTATGGAAGCTAGATAAATCCTTAAAACTATTTTACTCTAATAATATAATCTTTAAACCTTAAATCAAAAAATATCCCCCTCCAGTCTTCTGAAGACCAGTTAAACTTAACTAATAAAGAATGTCTACCTTAAGCATTATGCTCTTTTAAGATCTATCTGTATGTGATCTGATGGAAAATAGCAACTACTACTGGCTCCAAATTTACATACACACTGTTAACTGTTTTTAGTTTAGAGGAGAGATCCTGCAAGTGGATCAAGGCATGCCTAATTTTAGTTATTCAATGTTCTGTGGAAGCTGGAATGAAAATAGCCTCCAGGCATGTTCAAAAGTCAAGTTTCCAAGGTAAAACTTCACTAAGGCTGTTTCAATATCAGTGATTAATGATGTTTCTAATTAGTTATAGGCAGAAAAGATGCAACTCTTTGGCATGTTTTAGAGTCAACTGATTACTTAGGGTAAAACACTAAACCACTGCTAGTTCCATCTTCATTTCTGGGCCTGATGGGATAAGACAGAATTAATGTGAGAACGTATAATTAGAGGATACCAAAGGTACTGAAGTAATTAACAAAACAAAACAAAACATTAAAGAAGGGTCTTCACAGCTAAGATAGAAATAAAAAAGATACTTTCAAAACATGAAGGAAATGGAAAACAAAAAATTGCAATTTGGCAATCTAATGCCAAAAAACAATGGCATAACAAGTTCAAATATCTGAGCCTGGGGCCCTGCAAAATATTAATGTCATTAAAAGTAACAAAGGAAATTTAAAAAGCAAGAATGATTTTTTCTGAGAAACAGTAGAGCTACAAAGGAAAAAAAATATACTTCTATTTCATTTTATTAAGAAAGAAAGAAACCCAAACCGAGTTAAGTTAAATATTGGCATTATCATGCCAAAGCTGGCCCAGAGCTGTTATACTAGTCTATTTTGACAGTGAACATGTCATGTTGCTAGTTCAGCAATGTGCATATGTCTAGTTAAAAAAAATTTTATAAATATTTTATTTTTGTTGTTAATATATACAGCAAAACAGAACATCAGTTCAACAGTTTCTACATGTACAATTCAGTAACACTGAGTTCCTACACTGACATAAACTCACTGGCCCCTAAAGTTCCTACCTAATCTTTTGAGTTGCTGTTGTCAATCTCATCCCATATAGACAGATTTTATAAGAGCGTAATGTTCATGGCGGACATAACCTTTCTGCTGAAAGTGAAGCTGTCTTGAAGCACTTACTGATGAAGATCAAAGACTACACTCTTCAGTATGGATTATACCTGACCATAAAGAAAATGAAAATCCTCAAAACTGGATCAGTAAGCAGTATCATGATAAATCGAGAAAAGATTGAAGTTGTCAGGGATTTCATTTTACTTGGATCTACAGTCAACATCCATGGAAACAGCAGTCAGGAAATTAGACATCATACCGCACTGGGGAAATCTGCTGCAAAAGATCTCTCTAAAGTGTTAAGAAGCAAAGATGTCACTTTGAAGACTAAGGTGCGCCTAACCCAATCCATGTTATTTTCAATCATCTTATACACACATGAAAGCTGAACAATGAAGAAGGAAGACCGAAGAGTTGCTGCCTATGAATCGTGGTGCTGGTGAAGAATACTGAAAACACCATTAACTGGCAAGAACAAACAAACTTGTCCTGGAAGAAGTGCAGCTGAAATGCTCCTTAGAAGTGAGACTGGCCAGACTTTGTCTCATCTACTTTGGTCATGCTGCCAGAACGGACCATTCCCTGGGGAAGGATATCATGCTTAGTAAAGCAGAGGGTCAATGAAGAAGGGGAAGATCCTCAACGAGATGGACTACACAACGGCTGCAATGATGGGCTCAATCACAGCTAGCATTCGGAAGACAGTGCAGGACCAAGCATTTCATTCTGTAGTACTCAGGGTCACTGTGAGTCGGAGCTGACTGGACAGCACCTAACAACAAGAATAACTTGTATCTAATACGTCCCAAATAGGTATACTCTGTTCTTAAAATGAACGATACATTTTTTAAAAATGCTTAACTTGAAAGTAATTCAAACAGGCAAAGACCCAAGACAGACTTTTCTATATTTTATTCTAAATTAGTCAATTTTTATTACACATATACTGATAAGCATGTATAGTAATTAAAACTATAAGGAAGAGAAGAAAAAGAACAGAGTTTAATAGTAACTGCTAAGGTATTTTTATACACAATTTTAGAGCAAAGTTAAAAGAGAGTAACGTAATATCCAATGTAATGAACACAGTAACCTAGAAAGTAAAGAGAAATCATTAAATAAGAGAAGATAAATAAAGAGAAAATTTACATAAACTTGTTTTATTTTGCCAAAATTCAAGGCAGGAGAAAAAGTTAAGCAGCAAAGGAATTAAACTGAAAAAGTAGTTCATCACACAGTAGTTTTATACACCCAGGTCAGAGGCTTGAAATAGAAAAGAGAAGATTATACAGTAACCAGCAGAACTAGTAGGATCAAGTAACAACTTCATGGAAACAGTTAAGGGGAAGAGTCAGGTGAAAAAGGATGGAAAAATGGAAGGGAATGAGGTAAAGACTAAGGAGTCTCAGCAACACAAAAGGACATTACAAAGAAAGTGAAAACTTCCACAGAATTAGTTATCAATGTTTAGGGATCAGAGAAGTATATACTTAATGAGTTCTTAAAACCCATGACTGAGATATAAAGGAACTAGAGGAAAATACCTCAACAGATCAACATAAAGTAAATACAATAAAGATAGCACAATTTCTTGCAGTGTTTAGAAAAAAGTTAAAACACACACACACATATATATTTTTAAGGCACATACTTTTATAATTCATATTAATTATGTTCTATCACAGAACATATTAAACTTTCACAATGAAATACTGGAATTATTTAAAGATCATAACTTGTTCAATAATGGTATACAAATGTATATATACATGTATATCCACATTTACACATACACATACATATCTGTATCATCACAAATGGCATGTGAATCTATTGAAGAGAGATTTTTAAAACCTTACTTACAGGTTCACTATGATGTTTACCTCTGTATTAAGACTAGCGATCCAACTATGAATCTTACAAAAGAAAAAAGCCTCAGAGGGATAAAGATCTTTAAAAAAGTAGACTTGCCCCCTAGGGTGTCCAAGGCTGTAAATCTTACAGAGCACACTGTCATCTTTCTTCCACAGAGTGGCTGGTGATTTTGAACCATTAACCTTTTGGTTAGTAGTCGAGTGCTTTACTAATCCATCACCTGCACTTCTAAATCACCTACATACTTGCTATAAATTCTAGGTCAATGAATTTATAATCTAATCCACAGTATTTGAGAAGCATATGACTCTCTAGGACAATGTTTCTTAAGCTGGACTCCCAGACACTAGGGAGATAGATTCTTAGGCGTCTGAGTGCTCAGTGAAATTTTTAAATGTAGTTTTTTTTTTTTTAAATCAATGATAATAATAAATTGATAAGAAAGATAATACATAAATGACACTCCTGATGAGTGAAGGCCAAATGAATACCACATCTCATTCTAAAAACAAATGCTTCACTGTAGTTCAAATATAGAAAAGAAGCATGGGAAATGAGCTGGGCAAACTTAAATAAAACACATGCTAAGGCAGCCAAATAATAGTAACTACCATTTTACCAGGAGTTCTGGTGGTGTAGTGCCTAAGGCATTTGACTGCCAACCACAAGGCTGGTGGTTCAAACCCACCAGCCACACTCCTCGGAAGGAAGACTGGGCAATCTACTTCCATAAAGATGCTGCCTTGGAAACCCAAGGAGAGGTCACTATGAATCAGATCCGACTTGACTGAGATTCGACTAGACTCAACCTCAGTGAGTTACCATTTTACCAAGAACCAGGAACTGCCCTAAGCACTTTAGATGATCTTATCAATTAATCAGCTCAATAATCGCATAAGGTAGGTATTATCAACCTGTAGAGAAAAACAGTTTAGAGAAATTAAGTAATTTGTCCAACTATGGACAAATTGTCCAACTATGGACAAAACTATGAATAAATGGCTGCAGTAGGATTTTAACCTAGATGCTACTGGGATTTGAATTTAGGTGCTATTCTGTTACACTGTTTGCTTACCACATTTATACTGTAAGCTTAGATTCCTTTTTATCAGAACATTATAATCCTCTATACATTAATGATTTATTAATTTACAACAAAACAAAACAAAACAAAAAAATCCAAGCGCACTGCCATTGAGTCAGATCCGACTCACAGTGACCCCTCCTTGGGTTTCCGAGGCGGTGTCACCATGGTAGTAGATTGCCCAACCTTCCTTCTGAGGAGTGGTTACTGGGTTTGAACTGAATATGTCATGGTTTTAGAAGCTAAGCACGAGGAGTTTAGAACCAGCTTTTATATATTCAAGTAAGATAATCATAAAAAAAATATGTTTACATAAACCTTAGGCTTAATGAATTGCTTTTCTTTAAAACAGATCCATATATCACTCAAGTTTCAGAAACACTGTTCAAAGACTCAGGGTACCAAGTGGTATGTCATAGTTCATATGCAAAGATAAACAAAGTACATTTCCTGCAGCATAAATTTTCCTCAATTGTAAATAAGTTAAACTAATTTTACACTGCAATAAATATTTATTACATCCAGTAGAATGCAAGGCTTGTGTATATTTCAGATTCTTGCCAAGGTAACGTTAATAACGTCAAGAGACTGGCGCATATTCTTCTCTGCCCTTTGGGGTACTCTGAAGGAAGAGTTTGAGAAGCTTTGCCTAGTTTAGAGCTTTAGTTCAAATAGGGAAGAAAAAGAGAAGTAATTATTAAAGACTTTCCCGAGGTCACTTACCTCCTTTCTTAAAAAATATCCTTTAACTCCAGCTACCATTCCACTTTTCTACGCTTTTCTAATGCAGAACATCTCGAAAGTGTTATCTACAATGCTTGTTCCCTCTTCATCTCTAGATCAGCAATATCAAGGGCATCAACAACCTTCAAATACCCAAATTCATGCTCAATTCTATGGTTTTATTCTACTCAGCTGTACTCAAAACACTCCTTCCCTTTATTTTTTTTTCCACAATACTCCCTAGTTTTCCTCTTACCTCACTAAACAAAAAAAAAAAAACCAAACCCACTGCCATCAAGTCATTCTGACTCATAGTGACCCTACAAGACAGAGTATGGAAGCAGACCTCTTCCCCCTGTGGAGCAACTGGTGGGTTTGAACCTCTGACCTTCTAGTTAGCAGCCGAGTGCCTTAACTACTGAACCACCAGAGCTCCTCCTTACCCATTTCCTTAACAACTTTTGTGGATTTCTCTCCTTTCCACACCTCCCACATCCAATCCATCAGCAATTCTTACCCATTTTACCTCCAAGAGATATTCCAAGTCAATTCTCTGCTTCCACCTACACTACAACCATGCTAGCTAACCCCACCATCATCTTCTCTCCCCTAGTTATTAAAATCAGAAGCTCTGATGGCTCTGTGGTTAAAGCACTGGGCTGCTAACCAAAAGGTTGGTGGTTCAAATCTACTAGCTACTCCATGGGAGAAAGACTGAGGCAATCTACTTCTGTAAAGATTTATAGCCTTATAAAACCACACTGGGCATTGCTATTCTGTCCTATACAGGTGCTGTAAGTCCGAATCAACTCAATGGCAGTGGGTGTTAATTATTAAAATAGTCTTTTAACTGGTCTTTCTGTTTCATTTATGCCCCATTCCTCATGCTCCATTTCCCACACAGCTGACAAAGTGATTATTTAAAGATATATATCAGGTGCTCACCACCTCCAAAATCCAAATTCCTAATCCTAATTTACTAAAAAAAAAAACCCGTAATCTGAACCTAGTATGGCTAAAGGAACACTGGTGGCATGTGCCTAAGGCCACCTGACTGCTAACCAGAAGGATGGCGGTTCAAACCCACCAGCCACTCCTCAGAAGGAAGATGGGGCAATCTACTTCCGTAGTGATACTGCTTCGGAAACCCAAGGAGGGGTCGCTATGAGTCGGGTCCGACTTGACGGCACATAATAACCAACCCACCAGTCTCCTCCTATCCTTCAAACAGGGCTAGCAAATAAGAATATTAAAAATCTGATCATTGTATTCTATACAAAAATTTTTTGTCTTTTAGTTTTATGACTATGATTATTTCTGATAGAACACTGTCTAGTTATTAGAGATTTCAACATATAGGAAGGAGAAGTATGTACTTGTGGATATATGTAAAAAATGTGAAATACAATTTAATATGTACAAGTTTCAATGTTAAAAATAGAATCAAATCAATGGTCTTACAGCTCTCTTCCGGTAGTTCTGAGGCAATGACACCATATTTTGGTATCATTCTTAGAGTTCCAGTATCAGGGACTCCAGTATTCTCAACATTACAGAATTAAGAGGCAACTATGAATTAAAAAAATTGGTGTTTCAAAAAGAAGCAACTGTTTCTTTTGCATTAGAAAAAATGATATATAAAAAATTCACTAGAAACAACTGAACTGTCAACAGATGAATGGATAAACAAAATGTGGTATAAACATACAATGGAGTATTATGCAGCTATAAAGAAAAATGAAGTTCTGATACATAGCAAAATATGAACTTTGAAAACATGATGCTGAGTGAAATAAGTCAGTTGTGAAAAAACAGTGTATAATCTCATTTATATGAAATAAGCAAATATACAGAAACCAATGATTATTAATGGCTACCCAGGGTAGGAAGGAGAAAGAAGGGAACATTTTTGTTTAAGGGTCACTGAGTTTATGTCAATGGTGGCAGAATATTTTGGAAAAAGATAGCGACAATAGTGGTATAACATGAAAAATGTAATCATCTGTCATTGAATCCCAAATGTGGAAGTTGTGCTGGCAAATATTTTCAGCACCAAAAAGAAAAATGAATTCATAAAATGCAACAGAAAACATACCATTCCATAGGCCTGTTGCTGGACCCAGTTGATATAATCATTCCTTATGTCTATCATTTCTTGTACTTCATGTATATAAAACTTATCGTATTGTATTATCTGTCCCGTTTTCTCATTTACCTATAAGAGAGTAAAAGTGTAATTAACATTAAATTTAACCAGTCCTGAAGACAGAGATTAAAAAATATTTAAAAAGAAAAACATTCTGGAGAGATCTTAGCTAATTTTTTTCTTCATATAAAAATTACTTACTGAGTGCCTGCTATATGCAAATTAGTGTTATGGAAGACACAAAGATTTATAAGATGTGAAATCTGCATTCAGGACCTCATATATGAGTTGAAAATAAAGACACTGATGTAACCACAACACAGTATGAGGTAAGTAAAATATATACACTATATACAAACTAGAAACTGTAAGGAATGCAAAAGAGGGAGCTCTGGTTGGGGAATAGGACCTAAGTAACAACAATAACACTTAATGCTTGATAAGTGTTATCTTGTGTTAGCATACGGTAAGAGTTAACTTAAAATAAACTTTAAGAGATGACATTTGGGTAGAGTGCAAACAATGGAGGATGCAAAGTACCACCCCAGAGATTAGTTAGTAATTTTACAAAGGGAAAAACAAATCTTTACAGTAGAGGGTGATCAACTATTTATCACCAATACTTGTAAAATCGAACATTATGTTCATTCTAATATAATGCAATAGTAAGTACACACATCATCTATGAAGCAAAAAAACATTTAACCTGAATTTAATTAGGTCTCTCAACACAAATTTTGGAAAATACAAAGGATAGAAACAGAAATTAAACATCACCACAGGGAAACAATCAGATATGTGGATTGTGAAACTGCTGTAAGTAAACCAGCTAGGACTCTCCAAAGAGTCATGGTAATTGGGATAAAAAGGTAGGGGTGGTCATCAATTTAAAAAGACTAGAGAATTCTGAGGCTAGATATGTCAAAGTAGCTTGTTTCACACTAATCCTGCCCATAACAATGATAAACTCTGAACAATATATTTAAAAAACAACTACTGATAGAGCCTGGTGAGAGGATCTAGACTATGGCCCCTACATTCCCTTCCAGTCTGGAAATGAACTCATGCCAGTGGACTACAGCCAAACAACAGATAGGCATATAGGGTGAACATTAACATCAGGCAGATAGATTCTTTAGAATGATCAATCATGGGAGAACAAAAGGGCAGTATTTTCATACGGAGATAGCTCAAGAGGCAGGAATGCATAGAAAAGGAGGAGACAGGCAACTACAGACAGGAAGTGGGAAAAGAGCTGTTACACTGTGGGGAATTGCAGTCAATGTCATGAAATAAAACGTGTATGAACTGCTCTACGGAAAATGAATTTGCTCTAAATTTTCACCCAAATCACAGTAGAAATTAAAAAATAAAAAAATAAACAAACAATTATTTAAGATATTGGTAACCAGTAACCAGTTAAGGGTGATTCTGACTTATGGAGACCCAATGTGTTTCAGAGTGGAACCATGCTCCACGGGGTTTTCAACGGCTGATTTTTTAGAAGTAAATTGCCAGGCCTTTCTTCTGAGGTGGCCACAGGTAGACTCAAACCTCCAACACTTCAGGTAACAGCAGAGTGCATTAACTGTTTCCAGATACTCCACAGGTAACTACAGGAAACGAAAACCTCAATCCTAGTTTGACTCCTGACTGGATTGACTTAAATCCTTCCACTAACAGCTCAATATCTTCAACCAAAACAAGGCCAGGAGCTGATTGTGGAACAGTCAACTGCTCATATGCAAGTTCAAGTTGAAATTGAAGACAAAACAAGTCCAAGACAGCCAAAAGATGACCTTGATTATATCCATCCTGACTTTAGAGACCACCTAAAGAATAGATTTGATGCACTGAACACCAATGACCGAACCAGACGAATTGTGGGATGACATCAACATCATCATCCGTGAAGAAAGCAAAAGATCATTAAATAGGTAAGAAAGAAGAAAAGACCAAAGGGATGTCAGAAAAGACTCTGAAACTTGTCCTTCAATGGAGAATAGCTAAAGCAAATGCAAGAAATGACAAGATAAAAGAGATGAACAGAAGATTTCAAAGAGCAGCTCGAGAAGACAAAGTCAATTATTATAATGAAACGTGCAAAGACCTGGAGCTGGCAAACCCAAAGGGAAGAATATGCTCAGCATTTCTCAAAATGAAAGAACTAAAGAGAAAATTTAAGCCTTGAGTTGCAATACTGAAAGATTCTATGGGCAATATATTGAACGATCCAGGAAACATCAAAAGAAGATGGAAGAAATACACAAGTCACTGTACCAGAAAGAATTGGTTGATGTTCATCCATTTCAGGAGGTGGTGTACGATCAAGAACCAATGGTACTGAAGGAAAAGTCAAAGCTCCACTGAAGGAACTGGTGAAAAACAAGGCTCCAGGAATTTACCCAATACCCACTGAGATGTTTCAGCAAATGGATGCAGTACTGGAGACACTCACTTGGCTATGCCAAGAGATTTGGAAGACAGTGACCTGGATAACTGACAGGAAGAGATCCATGTTTGTACCCATTCCAGACAAAGGTGATCCCAAAGAATGTGGAAATTATCAAACAATATCATTAATATCACACGGAAGTAAAATCTTACTGAAGATAATTAAAAAAAGGTTGAAGCAGTATATTGACAGAGAACTTTCATAAATGCAAGCTGATTCAGAAGAGGATGTGGAAAGGGCTATCACTGCTGATGTCAGATAGATCCTGGCTGAAAAGCAAAGAATACCAGAAAGAAGTGTGCTGCTGTTATGTGCCGTCGAGTTGGACCCGACTCACAGTGATCCCTCCTTGGGTTTCTAAAGCAGTATCACTACGGAAGTAGATTGCCCCATCTTCCTTCCGAGGAGTGGCTGGTGGGTTTGAACTGCCAGCCTTCTGGTTAGCAGTCAAGTGCCTTAGGCACTATGCTACCAGAGCTCCCAGAAAGATGTTTACTTGTGTTTTATTGACTATGCAAAAGCATTGAATTGTGTGGATCATAACATATTATGTATAACATTGAGAAGAATGGGAATTCCAGAACCACTTAATTGTACTCATGAGGAACCCATACATAGATCAGAAGGTTGTCATTTGAACAGAACCACAGGATAATGCATGGTTTAAAATCAGGAATGGAGTGTGTTGAGGTTGTATCCTTTCACCATACTTGCTCAATCTGTATGCTGAGCAAATAATCCGAGAAACTGGATTATATGAAGAAGAATGTGGCATCAAGATTGGAGGAAGACTCATTAACAACCTGCGATACGCAGATGACACAACTTTGCTTGCTGAAAGTGAGGATGACTTGGAGCACTCACTGATGAATATTATTAAAGACTACAGTCTGCAGTATGGATTACATCTCAATATATATTATATATATATATATATATATATGAAATCCTCACAATTGGACCAAGAAGCATCATGATAAATGGGGAAAAGACTGAAGTTTTTCATACTACTTGGTTCTACAATCGACACCAACAGAAGCAGCAGTCAAGACATCAGATGACAAATATCACATCGGACAAATATGCTACAAAAGACCTCTTTCAAGTGCTGAACAAAAAAGATGTCTCCTCAAAGACTAAGGTGTGCCTAACCTAAGCCATGGTATTTTCAATCATCTCATATGCATGTGAGAGCCAGATAATGAATAAGGAAGACCTAAGAGTTGATGCTTTTGAGTTGCGGTGTTGGCAAAGAATACCAGGAGTACCACGGACTGCTAAAAGAACTAACAAATCTGTCTTTGGAAGTAAGAATGGCCAGACTTTGTCTCATCTACTTTGGTCCTGTTGTCAGAAGGGACCATTCCCTGGAGGACATTATGCTTGGTAAAGTGGAGGGTCGACGAAAAAGGGAAGGCTCTCACAAGATGGACCGACACAGTGGCTACAACGATGGGCTCACATGTAGCAAGGACAGTGAGGCTGGCACAGGGCTAGGCAGTGTTTTGTTGTACACAGGGTTGCTATGAGTTGGAGGTGACTCAACAGCACCTAACAACAACAACTAACAGCCAGACAGAAGAAAATGTGTAACCATTTCCAGATTTTAGGGCTTCAGTCTCTACTATTATACATACAATCAAAAATGATAAGACACATAAAAACAAATAAAACAAAATGAAAAAAGTATCAAGACAGAAGGCAATCAACAGAGTGAAACTCAAGACATAACAGATACTGAAGCTAGAAGACAGGTACTTTGTGAAAATATTTCAAACTGAATGAAAATATAACCTATTAAAAATCTGTAGGATACTGCTAAAGCAGGGCTTAGAGTGAAACTGTAGCACTATGTAATCTTAGGGGAAACAGATCTAAAGTCAATGATACAAACTTCTGCCCTAAGAATATGGAAAATAAAAGCAAATTTAAGACAAATAAAGCAGAAGGAAATAAAGGTAAAGCAGAAAAAAGTAACAGAGAAAATCAATGAAAGCCAAAACCCAAAAGACCCACTCCTGTTGACTTAATTCTGACTCACAGTGGTCCTATAGGAACAGAGAACTGCCCCACCAGGGTATCAAGGCTGTAAATCTTTAGCGAAGCAGGTTGTCACATCTTTCTCCTATACAGCAGGCTGCTAGGTCTCAACTGCTAACCTTTCGGTTAGCAGTTGAGCGCTTAACCACTGTATCACCAGGGCTCCTTAATGAAAACAAAGAGATTCCTTAAAAAGATTAATAAAATCAATAAGCTTTGACAGACAGAATCGAAAAAAAAGAGGTAAGACACAAATTACCAGTATCAGGAATCAAAGAGGGGACATCACTACTTAGCCATCTTACCAAAACTAACTCAAGAAGAAGGAGGTAATCTGAAATGTATTTAATTGAAATTAAAAACCTCCCAAAAGAAAACTTCAGTCCCCAATGATTTCACTGGTGAGTTCTATCAAACATTTAAGGAAACAGAATACCAATCCTATAAAATGCTTTCAGAAAACAGAAAAAAAGAGAACAGTACTGAATTTATTAAGCCAGAATAATCTGGCTTAATAAGCGGACAAGAAAATTATGAGAAATAAATATTATAGATCAACATCCCACATGAACAC